TCAAAAGCCTGTCACCTGCAGTCAAGATCTTCTATCCTTACATCCTGATGGTGGCAATTGAAGTGTCCTTGCGTGTGCCTTTTTGTTTTCTCTGTCCGTCGCTAAAAGCGTCTATGACATCCATGCCCTTTCCTCTGCCCTGTCCCTCTGGTGCTCTGGTGCATATCACTCCACGCGAACGGCATACTATCTACTTCTGCTCTTCCGAAGACAGGCATCCGGACATTCGTCCTGCTTCTCATTTAAAGTCCTCGCGGGCTACGGAGAAACAGTGCGGTCTCATGAATTCGTAGATCGCTTTGCTTGAGCATTTGCTTTCTCTCTTATTGGGTGTATGAACGCGAATATCAATGGAAGACTGAGTTTCCTCCTTTTCTTATTTTATATTATTCCTTTGATACATCAGCATTTTGAAATAAGGGATCCATGTTCTCAGTCTGTAATAGCTACTAGAATGGGATACCGTGTCCATCATCCGCATCACAATATACTCTCGTCGAAACTCAGTACATAGCTTTTACTGATGTTACAACATCCCGTCATACACATATTCAATCGCAATACCACCCCTCGCTATAAAAAGACATCCCGCGGTAAAATTGTACAGGCGCTGCGTGTGAGTACCACCCGTAGAGTGATCGAGCTCCCTGTATCTTTATTTAAGTGTCTGTTAGTGTTTAGTCTCTGGTTAGTGGATTTGTTAAGACCGAGCTTTTTATTGTCCTCTTTTGTATGTTTGTCTGTGTATCTTGAGACACCTAGTGTGGGTCCTTAATTGGTTTGGCGATAATGGCTCACATGTTAGCAGAGTTTTATTTCTTTGATGCTGTCTCTGTTGATTCTTCGACCTCTTGAACCACACCACCCCTCACTTTCCTGCAAAAGTGGTTTAGTTTGGACACAGTTCTCCCTACCTTCATGGACTACAATGCGCTATTCAGTTTGGTTAGAATTTACAGCTTTAAAGTTTGTATCTCTACGTAGTAGTAGGGGCACTTGAGCACAGACATTCCGAAGACCACAACCACAAATATTGCTCTCTTTTGAGGTGCGTATCTGAACAAGCCCAAAACGAATGTCTGATGTTGGACAAAATATGTATTCTCGTATTTCGTCTAACATTCGTGTTCAGCCGGGAAAGGGTATATGGAAAATGTTGCGCAGTAAACAATACTAATCTGCTGTTGGTTGCTGCAGTTCAGCGGACAGAACTTCCGTTTCACAGTCGGGAATTCCTTTTTTTCTCTCTTCTTTTATCAAGTAACGTAATGATCTAAAGCAACAATATGTCCACGAAGTCAATTATCACTAAAAAAACACTCAGATGGCTTGGGTGAGAGATACATAGACGTGTGCTAGTATGCAAGTTCACAATAAGCAAACGAAAGAGCGTCGACACTAACTTTAGTGAATGTTTCCATAATGGTAATACGTGTCTTCTATCGGTGTTTGCGAGCCCTTTAGTAATGAGTAATGTATTATGAGCTGTAATGTAGTTTACTACTCACGATTTCATCTCTCAAAGCTTTTCCTGCTATCACGGCCCGCTTGATCTTTCAGAAGGATATATCCAACTTATAGCACGGTCATAAATTAAGGTAAAAGCAAACGTCTGCTTCTATACTTTTTACTTGGAGGGACGATGTAACAGTAATAGATGTGGAAGCAAGACTTTAGTAAAACGCTACTGAACCTTTTATCGAGTGGTTTATTATCATCTACAAACAGCGAAAAATAAAGAGCGGCTTTACCTAATCCCTTTAGTATTAGATTACACTTTGACCGTTGATGACAATAAAATAGATATTTCAGAGATCAGAAACAGCTCGCTACAATCCACACCATAATAATTTTGTGTTTGCCGTAATAAAGCTGCCCATAGTTTGATATATAGCGTTTGTGTATTTTGCGTGGTGATATGGAACCTCGATTTAACTCGGTGATCTATGGCTTTTTCCCTTGCCATGTACCCTACTTGCGGTTACACTACACCCTCTTCTCAACAAAGGCTCATTCTCAATCTTAGTGCACAACAGGAGAAAAAAAATTCATAAGCTTGTTAAAATAGTTATTGCCAAACTTTTGTCGCGTTGAGCTGTCATTAGTCTAATGTGTCGTGCGAAAGCATTTTTCGACGAGGGAAAAGGTAGATAGGAGGGGGAAAAAACGTATTCATTTCTACTTTTATTCCATAATTCTTCAAATGCCCCATCCTTCTAACCGATTACATTTCGACATATCGTTCTTAACAATTCCGCAGTGGGCTAGGCTTTTCTCGTTCCTACACAGGCTATACATTCATGTGTTGCAATTATGTCGGCAAAAGTCTATTACATCCCGTGTTTCTTTTTTTTTTGGATCAGCGGAAACAAAAATGTAAATTAGATTCAGGTCACATCATAGAGCGTGATGTTGCGCAGTAAACTCTCAAAGAAAAAACAGAGCATGATAATATACCGCGTTTTCGCACAGAGCTCTTGTTGCGCAGTAGTGTGTGATAATAAGCTTTTTTATTTCGTCGGAAAACTGGATATTACTGTGTTGTGTGCAAAAGGAACCTCGTCTATATAAACTGAATAGGCAGTGTTATTTCGGTCTCTTTCCTTCGCTTTATTTTTTTTTTCTTCAAGGTTCCAATAAATTGGTACGTTTAGTGAGTCTCAAATGTCACGAGTCTCTCAATGCTACAGTGGGAGACGCGTATGTCCTGGTGGTGGTAACTGTGTGGGTTAAAGATGACAAGGAAAAAAAACATCAGAAAAAGAGTCGACATCGACTTAGTGCCATCTGGAGTGAATAGAAACAAACACGGGTGGTATATGCCGATAGATGTTTAGGGAAACCCCTGATGACCTTCACAGTTACCAAAGAGTGGTGGACTATCGAGTTAAAATGGATTAGTAGCTGCAGTTTGTGCTAACAAGTTTTCCGATATATTTGTTTTGTAGATCCTAGGGTGTATTCAAGATATAGCGATTATGTCTTTCAGGAAAGTAGTACGCTGTTTTATTGATATCCCTCTTGTTTTGCTATTCAACAAATAAGCATTATACTATAACATACGGCCATTTACTAACTAGAAGTTAAACCAATCGCCATTGCTGTATGTAGATACCAGAAGACGTGTAGCTAGTATATCAAGGTGCTCTATCGACAATATACGGTACACAATATTTTACAGTGGACCAGCTTCTATTTACGACACTCGAACTCGTGACAGCTTTTTTTTCAGAAGCAATTCAAAATCTTGTCTGTTGCCGAGAAGACTTTTCTTTTATTTTACTTTTTCGTTTTCATCTAAATAAACCAGTCTGTATAGTATAACGTACTACTTCACCAAACGCGTTTTCCGATCTTTTTATTTCCAATTGGATTGATACAATTCTTCTTGTTGGCCATCACGGCTATCCTACCATATGATGGGTTTCTTTAACGAGCTAATTAACTACCTTCCTTTGGTAGTGTTGTTGTCACCAGTGATGGCACCAACAGCAGTATCGATCGTAGCAATAGCTTTCGCAAATATAGAGAAGGATGCAAGGCTTGCCTTTCAAATTAAATGTTATAGTTTCTCATTACAGCTATTTGTGCGGTGTGGACAGCAACAGTAATTTTAAAATCGAACCAATAGAGATACTGTTCCAAGGTTATCGATCAGTTTACCATAATGTATAACCGGCAGCTAGACAGGAGTATCCTTTTCAACTGTTGATGGCTATAATACAAACTAGAATATATAGCGTCGTGATCATGATGAAGAAGTGAAGTAAAGTATCGATACAAAAAATCACCTTCTTGCCATGACAACGTTCTAATTTTTTATAAGGGACGCTCACTTTGGATAATGTGTAACTCTTTTCAGTAATAATCTTTTGCGCGCTCAATCCAATCCCCTGTCCCAACAAACAGGTCCTGCGGTAGCCTTGATTGATAAGCATCTTATCACATAGTTGTCGCTAGTAGACGAGCGACGAAGTTACAGTTATTGGCATTCATCACTTCGTCGATCGTCAGATGAAACATTCTGGTACATACTTTTACACGTATCCATAATGATGCCATAATTGTTAAACCATCACTTCTTTATTTTTTTTTATCATACGTCATCGGTTTTCATGGTTTTCTTTTTGTTTCTAATGTTGTGTTGAATGCTGGTTGGTTAGCTTCCCACGATTCTTCTTCTGTCAGCAGAAAAGTAATCTAACAACAGTTCGGATTGTGGCTTTGAAAAGATGTTGCGCAGTAAACCGTCTTACAGGAAGAGAAAAAGGGAACGCGACACCCGCTTTTATCTCAGTTTTCTTGTTGCGCAGTAGTCCGATAACTCTTTTTTTTTAGCGGATAGATCGTGTTGTTGATGTAATTGGAACCGGTGTGTTTGCCTCCAACTTGTCCCTACTTTGGCACATTGCTTCTATCCACATAAAAGATGACTGAATAAGAACTAGCCCCGAAGAGTATGTAGTAGTAGCGAGAACTGGGTAGATTAACTAAATACAACCATTAAAGGAGCGAGCATCGTTAATTGAAATTTGAAAACACGAGATGCATCCGTAGACTCGGCAGGAAAAAGGATAGGTTTGTAAACGCCACCTCAAAAGCTAGATTATCCACAAAAATTAATGAAGGCTATTGAAGAGAACACGCTTTGGGTATAACTGTGACCGGATTGTTAGTAAGACGGAAAAGGTTGCTGACGTACAGCCAAAATAAATACTGCTTTGTGTGTCAGTTCTGGCAAGGAAGGATTATGATATAATCTAAGAAAGCGTTGTCAGTCGCTTATTGTCAACTTGAGGTGCTTACAAAGGCGAAAATATTCTGAGTGTTAGCTACCATGATGCGTCCATAACTGATGACGCAGAATAAAAGTGGTAGTATGTAAGCGTTAGAGGCAACTGACCACTCAGAATTGGTCGACGCAACATTGTGTGGTGCTTCTTTGACTGATACGGCTATAGTAAAAAGGTTCTTTTGAAAAATTCAGAATGAGAATGAAAAACTTAATAGTGACGGATATTTTTATGCAGTTTATGTACATACAACAAAAGGTTAAAGAAATGACGGCTATTGATCTGTAGTGGTGGTGGTGGTGGTGGTGGTGCCAGGGTTATAACTACAAGCAGCAATGGACATTTTTCGAAACTGTTCCAAAAATTCATACATACTCCCTTGCTGCTTTGTACTTCTCTTTAGCTGTCTACGGGTCTCTATCTCCTGTTTTGACATGCCACCACCACCAGCCCCGGAAGAGTCGGCAGCAGTAAACGCTTTTTCACCTTCATCACCACTAGCAGCAGCAACGTTGTCAGAGTGTTCCATCACAGTCTTCATAAGTGTATCTTTCGACATTGGTAACGGCGTCACTTCCGTGTGCTCGAGATCAATCAACGTCATGTAGACCATGTGTCTGTGCGCATGAGACTTGCGCAACTTGAGTGATACTCGCACATGATCAAAGAGATTGAATTGGATCGGATGTGGAAGTGTTGCGGCTTGGACAGATATGTTGGTGGGTATAGATACATTGATCGTACAATTGGATAAATATTCCTCGTCTGTTAAAAAGGGAATATTTATTAAGTGGTGTTTGTTACTATTGGCAGACTCTCTTTTTCTCAAACATAAATTTACACTGTCCTTTGTAACTTACCATGCTCGGATTTGCCAGATTGTAATGAGAGCGGCACTACTGGAAGACCGTGTTTATCCATCAAAAAAACGGGTCCTTTGAGACCAAGTCTAATCATTATTATTTTAAACGATCGCGGGTCAACTAATTTATCCTTCATGGAGTTGTCATCCTATTCTCTCAACCTCCTACACTAACCTTGGAATAAAGACATAGAAGCCATTTGATCGTATCTCAGCGATGACGCCGCTTTCAATTAGTGGACCATCGGTGGTCTGTAATACAGCATAATATAAAAAATATTAAAAGAAGATATCTAGAATGTTTCCCCAGCAGAATAACATGGAAAGTAACTCACATGTTGTAAAACATATAGACTCTGGAAAAGCTCAGTAGAATCCTTAAAAGATAAAAAGAAGGTTTCAAGGTTATCCGATTTCAGTTCTTTCACAGACGCATAAAAGACACAAAACACAAATAAACAATCTTACTCTTTGTGCAAACTTTGATTCTCTCGATTTAAGGTTGAGATGGTCACAAATATCATTAACTTTGCCATCCTGAGTCATGGATGTGCCCTTGTTTTGTCGATCTGCAATAGCGACCTGATCCTCCACACACATTAGTAGCTGACGATGAGCAATAACATCTGCATATCTTCGAATGGGTGACTAGTAAAGCAATATGAGTCAATCAATCAAAGATTAGTTCCTCGGGTTTCGCTCTTTTTTTTTTTTTACATTACCGTAAAATGTGTATAAAATTCAAGTGCGAGACCATAATGGAAGTATTGATCCACAGCATAGTGACCTGATGATATATATCCTGCTTCGTTCATGGCAACTGTTGCCATAGTTTTCATCAATCGCGCAATCTCTGGGTCGCCAGGGCAGTTCTTGACAATCGTTTCCAAGGATTTGGCAAGAGCTCGATTCGATGAAAAGTCCACATTGAATCCCTGTTTTATTTTTTTTAGGAGAGGGGAGCCGTTGAGGGCCAAGAGAAAGGTTTGGAAGCGATACCATCAGATACATATATATATGCATAAAGTTTGCCTTGTTGATTACTTTACCTTGCTTTGAGCAGCCTTAACTAGCATTTCAAACTGGCCAGCATTAGGAGGAGGATGACGACGCAAGATGGCTGCATCTTTGAAGCCATCATAGATACGTTTTCCGACGTAAGAGTTGGCCATAATCATGGCTTCTGCTACTAAACCGTGGATCTCTAAGCCATCCTTGGGAAGTAAAAAAAGAAAACGACAATGGTTAAGGAGTTGAGTGAGCATAAAAAGGAAACACGTTGCCAGTGGCAGTTGAATTTGTTTCTGTAAAAAAAAAAAAGGATATTGATATCAGAGATGTTATGGTTGTCGCCAATCTTGAATTTGACTTGGCTACTTTCCAATTCAAGAGCACCTTTGGCTAGACGTTGTTGCTAAAGATACGTATGTTTAAGTGTTTATAACACAGTTATCAGTAGATGCTGTTGGAAGAAAGAACACAAAAAAAATGAAGAGTAACTTTACCCGCATTGCTCTTAGAACGGTAGCAAGTTTTTCGACGGATGGTTTTAGCTTTTTGGATAAAGAAGCAGCTAGGACAAGGAAAACCAAGGGTTGCTGTTTAGTTGGGACAAACATCTTTTCGGTAATGAAATAAGATTTGACCACACAGGTTATTTCTCACTTAGGTTGGTTGCTGTAGTCTCGCCGTTGAGGAATTGTTGGGCTTGCTCATACTCCATTTCACAACTTGAGCGAATAAGTGTCCGTCCGAACCAGGTATCCAAAACTTCGAACGTCTTACTATCCAATGTCCATAATACAGAAACTATATGTATGTACAAACAGATTCGCATTATCATTATTTTTAGCATGTCAACCAAAAGAAACCAGTGCTGCTGCTTACTCAAAATAAAGTCACCGCTCTTCTTTCTCTCTCTTACCAGCATAACGATCCACATTTTCTCGAAGCGAACAAACTCTTTCGCTGAGAACAGATGGCAACATATCAAAACGGCGATCCGCTAAATAGACTGTTGTTCCGCTAAACACAATAAACTATCCATATTAATATTACCGAGTCATTCTTTTGAGAAGAAATTCCTTTCTGTCTCTATGTGTTACCGTGACCGTGCTTCGAGATCCGTCAGGAAATTCTCTTTCACGAAATAACTGACATCAGCAATATGGACACCCAATTCTATCTGTCCATTTTCCAGGTCACGAATCGATAGTGCATCTATTGTCATATTTTTGAAAAATTATTAATCTTCTCAAGTATAGTATGCTGCTGCTGCTTGCTTGCTAATTTACCATCAATATCCTGACAGTTAGGTGGATCGATGCTATATTTTAGTAATGCAGGATTTTTAAGAGTTAATGCGCATGAAAATACATAATGTGACCCTTCCTCTCTAAGCTTTGTTTTTGCTTTTGTTTCCAGATACCTAAATACCGTTAGTGATCGTAAATCCCTTCGCCTTGAAACCTCGCTCTAAAGTTATATTCATATTGATCAATATATCCTTATTGAACCATCAACAGACTAATTTTTTTTTGCATGTGTGTTACCGGCTCAGGTTTCCATGGCGCCAGAGAAGAATCTTCAGGCATTTCTTTAAGCGAAGCCTCACTGAACCCTTGAGAGGCTTGTGATACAGAGATCCCATGTTCCACCAAGATGGCCGAGATTTCAGTGTCCAGTTGGTGAATGGGACCTAATAAACAAAACAAAACGAAATGTGTATTCTATAAGGTTTCCAGATTTGTTTATGTGTTTTCCTGCTTTATCTTCCCCCAACACCATTTTACCTAAAGAGCGAACATAATGACCATTGGGATATTGTGATGATGTTGGCCTATAGAACAAATTTATCCCAAAATTGAGAGTGTTTTGTTATACAGTGATAGAAGAGACAAAGAGTTGAAATTGACAGTGCAAGGAGCTATTGTTACTTACCAACTATCGATACGAACAACAATACGTTGGTTTTGGATCAACGTTACATCATGGTGGCGGATCCTGATTTTGGGAATCACCGAGTCCAAAGGAATAGCCAGATGGAAAAGACCGTTGCTTGGTGTATCCTCCTGTAGTGTCGCAACATACGATCGCCAATTGCGATTCAAGATACCAATCACTCGACCCGTCGGATGCGTTACATTGGCATTTCTTGTTAACCGTGTCTCTTCGTGCTCTTTAATAAAACTGCTATTAGATCATTGTGTCACATACATATATGCAACAATGGCCCCCAACCCTTCTTTCCCCGTGTGGGGGGCGGCACTGTTGTTTTTTTCTTCATTACCATCTTCTGTACTGCCGCCGCCATATGCTATCGTGCTGGAAGCTGTTGTCCAATTGTTTTCTGACAATAGCTCCACGACCACCAAATCGCCATGCACTGACCAGAAAGAAATAATAATTTTTAGGCAAATATGATCTCCCCGATCTGCAGCTAATGCATGTGCATCATAATTCCTGCAAAGAAGAAAGTACCTGCGCGGTTGGTATTTTCCGAGCCCACAATCAGGATATCCTTCTCGAGTTTTTGACCTCCATTAACATAACCCATGTCGCGCGTCCCGGATCTACATCTCAGGGTTCCTGAAAAGTACCTTGACGACTTGATCCCGGCCTCCAATTCCTCCATGGGTTTATACTATAATCCCATATAGCATATAAATTACAGCGCAATGATACGATTACTCTAAAAGGCTATTTAGCGTACCTCTGTGTAGCCAGACACGGCCGGTTCCGACTTCTTTCCTCCAACAGCAGCAGACGAGACCCGGATCCGTTCCAGGTCATCTTCCAAAACAGCCTCAGCCAAAACCTGTGCTAAATTTTGAAATAGCGCATGGTCTCCCCAATACTGGTCAATGTACTGTTTCATGGTGCGAACACAGAGTAGACCATTCTCTTGCTCGTCATCATCGTGATGTTGCTGCTTCTGGACACGACTCGTTGTTTTTGTAAACACTTCGGAAAGCAATACGATAGGCTTTCCGAGATGGGTGCTGTACCAATCGGCCATTTTGCACAGTGCGCGCCAATCACGTTCAGCAGCTGTTTCACCTGCTAGGCGTGGAACACGGGTGTCTGCAAACACTTCGTTGTAAAACACAACACTGTTACGTCGTGTGTCATTGATAATTTGGCGTAGTTTGCGATACATTCGCGTCTTGTCGTGCTGTTGTAGCTAGAGACGATTGTAACAAATATATATTAGAACTCGTCGCATGCTATTATTAACTTGCTTGGACAATGGATGTATACCGAAGTGATGATGGTTTGGCTTAGAATAATGCCTGTGATTTCTTCTTGCTCCAAGATTTCCAGATACCTCATGACAATCTATGTAATTTGTTGCGTTGTGCGTTTATGTATACGATGTGGGGGTAACGAGAGAACAATGATGGAAGCCGCGTCAATAAGATCAAACACAACTCTCTCTCTCTCTCTCTCTCTCTCTCATCGCGTCACATCCCCCTCCCCCCCCCCCCGTAAGGCATCCTCCTCCCCCCACAATTATGGACACTTGCCGACATGTCAGGGATCAGGTAATGGTCTGCATCAGCACTTAAGAATCCTTCATGTTTCGGATCGTTTGTGCTGTTGTTGTCCAGTGTTCGTTGGCAAGGGGGCGTTGCCGGACAATGTTCGGACATGCAAGGAATGTCACCGCGTATATATTCTTAATATATATATATACACATGTAGATCAGCTTCTCTTCCCCAAGGTTTGAGTCAGCAAAAGAAATGAAAAGACAGAATGAGGTTGGTTGAGTGGTTACATACGTTCTCGTACTAGTTTCACAATGGCATTACTACGAGTTTTTCTAAAGAATGATCGTTCTCCTCTGTCGTAAAATACAAGATCTGGCATTCTGGTCAAGGTGTAGAACACTATAAAAGCGTGTCGATATTACGGGCATTTTATCAGGCCCGCGCACTTGACGGAGTCACAAGCTGGTTGCTGCTGCTGCTGCTGCTCTCCTCCCCCCCACAGTCTGATAAATGGCAGCACATGAGAACCAGTGGGGATAACTTGCTCGCGTTCCTATGATGATCTATTTCTTTCAGAGAGATTAGCTTGAACTGATTGAAGCGTAAAATGACACTATGGGTGCACGATAAATTATACGATGGATGTGGAAATCGGCAGCTCACGTGCGGACAGTGAACAAAGGTCGACCTTTGTATGGGGGTGGTGGGGGGGAGGCATAATGTATCTGCTGGTGCCCTGTGTGGCACAACTGATTCTGCAAAAGGATTCAGATGACTCTTGCCCTTCTTTGATTGAGTTCATACACATCTTCTTGTATATATAAACACACGCACCACACAAGAACAACAACAAACAAAATAGACACAAAAGAAAAAAGCTTGAGTCTGATCAAGCCCCTGAGCGCGCATGCCGACTCAAAATCCTTTTTTTGATGCAATGACAGCACTGAATGGTGACCACGTGTGGCCATGGTAGGTTCAGTTTCCAACAAATCCAAAGACACCCGTCATCTTACTACGTACTACAATCTTATTTTCTTATTCTTGCCCTCTTTAACTTTTTTTTGTTCGAGGCGGGGGCCTAAATCATATAAAGGGAAAACGGCCCGGCCTCTCTTTCCATTCTCTCTCTCTCTCTCTCTCTCTCTCTCTCTCTCTCTTTGCATCTCTTTCTCTCTCTCTCCACGCATACAGGGCAAACAACATCCTATACACACATACAAGATACATTCTTTCTTTTTTGCCCCTGTAAACCTCTATCTTTCATGTCATGAAATTTGCAAAGTACCTTGAGAGCGAGAGCATACCAGAATGGAGAAAAGCCTATATTAACTATAAGGGTCTTAAAAAGCGACTTAAGGCTGTTGACAAGGTAAAAGAAAAAAGCTAACCCGTAACCATAGCAACTCGGGTCCTTCCACCCCCCCCCCACACACACACACACTCTCTCTCTCTCTCTAATTATTACATGCTTCTAAATAATCAAAATCAATTTCTGTTTTGATCCATAGTTCCGGAAAACCAACGAACGTAAAGCGGCTATAGAACTCGACCATACGTTTCAGGGCATCGTTGACCCGGACAGTGACCCTGAACCGGGTATCATTGCTCGGCCTGCCATTTTTAAAACAGACACTGCTGCAACAGGCGAATGGCGGTGGCCTTGGAACTTTGCGACAAACAATTCGCAATGGTTCTCCGAGAACCCGCCATTGCATCGACACCAGTCATTTCCACAATCACTCATTCGAAGAATATCGTCTCGATTCAACAATGACGATACTGAACTGTATCGTGTCCCCTCACAGACAGGTAAAAATGCTAGAATTATAAAACTATACAATAAACAGTTGGCGAATAATTCCAAATCGAGCTGCACTGTGAAAAGTAAAAAAGAGGTGTTGCCTAACTTTATCACCACTACTACTACTCTTTTAGCATCGATCCGTAGCTCCACAACAATGTCAATATTAGAAGAAGCTCTGCTACATGCAAGTGAATCCGAACGTGTCTTTTTTGCCATTTTGAATGGTGAATTGGATAAAGTGTCAAGGTTCTATGATGGTAAGCGCAAAAAAAGCTTTTTTTTTTCTACTCGCAATCCCGAGAACCCGCACAAAAAAAAAAAAGACAGATTTTTTTTCATTTAACAAACAAACCAATTTCTTTTATTTCATATGTAGAAAAGGAGAAAGAAGCCAGGACCAAACTAGAAGCACTCAAGATTCAAATGCAATTGATTGCCGAGTATGGCCGTCGGCTGCTTGAGATTCCGGTAAAGAGATACACATTCTATTAATACCAGCTAGTAACTATGACTAACTGTCATGCACCACCAATTCCTATCCTATGGTAGAACCCAGAAGACCAACCGAGTCGACAGCAACAGCAAAACGGATATGGCATTCCATTACCAAACGGCTTCAGAGGCGAGGATGTGCATCAGAGCTGGTTTGACTGGCTCAATCGCCATCGCAACAAACCCGGCAACGGAATGGTTCCTTTGCAACTGCCACAAGTGTCATCCACTATAGACTACTCCGCCGATCATCATGTCAGCTACAGTGTAAATGTCTCAAACCCCTTTGAGCCAAAAACAGACATATATTTGTTGTTTATTTACAATAACTGACATCAGCGCTTCTATTGTCATTGTTGCCCTGTTGTTACAGGTTGCTCGAAGCAGACTAAAAAAGGCACTGACAGAATATTACCGCAGTCTAGAATTTCTACGCTCGTACAAAGTAAGTGGCAGTCTATGTCTTTTTAACAAGTGACATTGCATTCTCTGTCTCTCTAACAACAAGGGAATCCTAAATGGGTGACAGGTTTTGAATGAAACAGGGTTCCACAAGATTCTTAAAAAGTTTGACAAGGTATTTTCCATAACCAGTGTCTTTTATACTGCCACTATGGCCACCCACCCACCCACACACACACACACACATATATATATAACACGCGTCTTAGACCGCTGGCTGGAAAGCAAGTCAATTATACCTGCAACGGTTAAAAAAGTATCACTGGGTCACATCCAGCGAGCTGGATAGTAACATTAAGGAAACAGAGGTACATTTGTTAGTTATCGCTTCAGAGGCACTTCTAGGAAAAGAAAGAACACTTAATTGTTCCATCACGATAGACACTTTACGTTGACGAATTTGCGGACGGCCATCGTCGTCGAGGTATGCGTAAACTGCGCGTACCTGAAAAGCAAGAGGTAACACAATAAAACTGAACCACCACCGCTCGCCCCCCGCCCCCTTTTATGCAACATATATCATGTTAGTAAATCTCGAACCCCGTCTTTTAAAGCTCCCCCCTGACTTACCGAATACATGCAGGATTATAATTCGACGACGCTGCGTATTGGCCTGTACATTGGCATGGCATTGATTCTCTTATTGCGAGCGTGTCAATTAGGTAAGTGTAGCTGCTGCAAATATATGTTACCATTTGCTCTATAGTATGCACCTCGAAAATCCCACTTATTGTTATCAATACATATACGCCAAGAAGCACACTCTATGTAGTCATGCTAACAACACACACATGCTTTGCTTGTGCAGGATTCGATCCAAAGACCGCCAAACAACTTCCGAATGTCCAAATGAATCTCCAGATCTATGCTTGCTTTGCGCTACCCATCTTGTTCTGCCTGGGATTTGCAGCCAATCTGATTATATGGCATCGCAGCCGCATAAGCTATAAATTCATTTTTGAATTAGACCCACGGCATAATTTGAATTATCATCAGTTCGGAGAAGTAAGTAGTGGTGCCTTATTTTTTTTTTGGGGGGGGGGAAGCATCTCTCTTTCTAACAATAACAATAATGAATGCGCGCGTGATGTTGCATTGCATAAATCTCATCCCTCCCCCCCCCCCAAACAATTTCTATGAATTTCAGCTGCCAGCATTTATGCTATTGATAGAAGCGGTCGTCATGTACATTGACTTTTCCCAAATATTTGCGCCATCCATCCAGTCCGAACTATGTCCGCTGATCTTATTCGTCATCCTGGTTGCTATCATGCTCTGTCCGTTCGATATTCTGTATTGCTCGGCTCGCAAATGGCTCGGTGTCGCTTTGGTTCGTACTAGATATTCTGTTATTTTTTTGTGTGTGTGTGTGTCAAAAACCGGTTTTCTAAACAAAGATATTGGCAAATAGGGACGTATTTTCTTGAGCGGCTGTTTCCGAGTCGAGTTCCGTGATTTTTTCATTGCCGACGAGTTAAACAGTCTTGCATATTCATTTTGGACCTTGTCGTACTTTTTTTGTGCTTATTCTTGGCAATGGACAGACTTGGGTAATAAGCAAAACTATTATTTTACACGCACACACACACACACACACACATACAATATGGAATAAGAACAACCTTTTAAACTACGGACGTCTTTTCTCTTATCTTCAACTAGGAACACAGTGTAATATTGCATTAATGTGGTATACTCCATTGATCGCCTCGCTTCCTCCTTGGTGGCGTTTATTGCAATGCTTACGCCGTTACAAAGACTCGAACGAAAAGGTCCATTTGGCCAATGCTGCAAAGTATGCTAGTAGTATCCTCGCCACGATTATTGGTGCCATTCGAAGAATCCATCGTAAGTCAGAAAGAACTCTTCCAGTATGGTTTGCCATTAACACCATTATAAATGAATAGCCGGTAGAGGAATGGACATTGTCTTTATCCTGACATGTATTTTCAACTCAAGTTATACATCGACTTGGGACCTTAAAATGGACTGGGGCTTGTTCCAGCCAGACAGTCAACACTTGTTTTTACGAGACGAATTGGTCTTCAAACGATGGATCTACTATGTCTCAGCTATTCTTGATGTCTGTCTACGATTCTCATGGACCTTGAACTTTGTACGGATGCGTCTAAACGGAGCGATTCTTGGATTTATCTTGGCATTGTTGGAAGGATGTCGTCGTATCCAATGGAATGTTTTCCGGCTCGAGAATGAGGTAAAGCATTTGTGACACGAAAATCACAACAAAGATGGAGAAAGACTAACACAAAATATAGCACTTGAATAACTGCGGTCAATATCGAGCAATCAAGGAGATTCCACTTCCTTTTGCGCTACGTGAAACTGTCAAACATCCCAACGACGATAACGACGAAGGTAACATTCGACTCCCTCCTAATGCTGATGACTACAACAACAACCGTGACACGACCATGAACGGACGTGCCACCCCACCAACACCTATTCCTATTGGCGAACCAACAACAACAGCCCCGATAGTCATATCATCACCACCACCATCGCCATCGCCTAATCATATGCTTGACTCGTCTTGGATGTCACCCATCACACGACAGCAATCGACGCGACACTCACAGGCAGCAGCACAAGACTCGGTCTACAGCGGATCCTTCTATGGTCGTCGTGATTTTGAAAGCCGGCATGATCATGACGATGCTACTGCTGCTAAAGAAGCGGCTGGAAGCCAACAGCCGGCCTCTGCCATTGGTAACGTGCTTACCCGGATCCGCAGTTTTGGAGCAGCTGGAGGACATGATTCAGACAACAGTGACACCGATAGAGAAGATAACGACGAAGATGATGATGACGACGACGACGATGACGACGTTTAAAAAAAACCGGCATAGCACGCTGCCATTCTTGTTGTTACTATTACTATTACTATATTCTTATTGTCAGTATTTTTGTTATTTTTTTATTGTGTTTGTCGTAGCAAGCAAATGTAACTTTTATCCATACAACTCCTTCTTCTTATCTCCCCTTCACCCTTCTTCTTGTTCTGATCCTGTAGAAAAATCTAAAGTGGAATATACCCTCTTCTTCTACCACACACGTACACATCATCATCTGCATTTTATTATAACACGCACTATACATATTTCTTTATGTCTTTTTTTTTTTTTTTGTAAAGCAAATAAACAGATACACATATTACTCCAATTCAGTAGAATTCTCCTCTTTCAGGTGAATAGTGGATAAGTTCCGGATCAATGTGCAGTTTGGCGAGTAGTCTTGTCACATCATCCTCCTCTTCCTCGTCACTGTCATCTCGACCACCGTGACGGCGACGGCGGCAATTCATGTCATCGAACGAATCGTCAGTACTGGTACTAGTAGTGGTAGGCTGCTCAAGCGATGACAGCTCACGCTCGTATCCTCCGTCCTCTTCAGTGGCTGCTGCTGCTGGTGCTGCGTCATCATAGCCCCATGACGAATAAACGGCTGATTGGATCGTTGGTTGAAAGAGAGCGTCATCGGGACCAAGGACACATATGATTTCCATTGTGATATTCTTTTTTTTTTTTTGGCAAAAATAAAAAGCGAGTGAGTGCTTATGGTTGGTAGTATTTTTCTTGCTAGATGATGACGAACAAAAAAGAGTTTTACCTGGCATACTGATCGCCAATGTGCAACAAGCTCTTCAAGCTCTGCTTCCTCTCCCTTGCCACAATTGGTTTTTTAAAAAGGGAGAATTGATGAGTTGTAACGGTAGTATGGAGGAAAGCAAAAAACAATGGCTTATTACCTTTTGCATGTATCGCTTGACCTGGGTGAGCCGACCGACCTTATCTTCCAAAACGGCCGTTTCTTCAAGTGCGACACGCTCCTCTGGCGAAAACTTTGGCTTGCGGCTCTTCTTTTTCTTGCCAATCGTTCCTGAACCAGGTAAAGTTTGGTGTAACGTTGTCGTAGTGCTCTAGAATTTTCAATGCTGAGCAAAAGTGATGTACACGTACACAGTATCTATAAGCAATTTGACCCCCACCTGATCCATAATGCTGAGCAAAAGATTTGGAAACGAAAGAAAAAGAGAGGGAAATAGCCAAAAACTCTTTCTGGCACCTTGCACCTCACACACACACACTTTTTCTTTCTTTCTCTTTGTTTAATTTTTTTAAGCGACCGCAACGCACAAAATCATGCATAGTAACAACTGGGCGCATGTACAAAAGTTCGACCCGCTCATATTCACTGACGGTGTCGCTCTTGACCACACTCTTCAACAAGAACGAACCACTGAAAAACTCAACAAAGCATTCGAACCTTGCATTGTGCAGCATCTTGATTCCAAAACACTCGCCCAATGCGCACTCGTCAGTCGCCATTTCAACACTGTATGCAACAAACGACTGTGGCGAGTCCCTACGTTCCACGACGGGTACCTGTACAGCTCACTGCACCTATTCAACCGATTCATCGATCTCTTACCACACGTTCGACCCATCGAGGTTGGCCAGCTCGTCACCCACCTCAACCTGTCCGAACTGGAAGAATCGCTCTATGAAAATGTTCGACCTTACTTTTTCGATTATTTGATACGCTATACACCCAATCTGCAGATCCTCAACATGTCCAAAACCAACTTTTTCTCCGTAAGTTCGTTATCCTACTCAAAAAACAACAGCAAAGAGACAGCGTGGTGGTGTTTGCCGCATCTTCGCGCACTCGACTTGTCGTTTTGTGACTATATATCGGACGATTTATTGGTGGCGCTCGCGCCTGCATTACCCAAACTACAACATCTTCGATTGGATTCGCTTGGTACAGGTGCAGGTGTTGGTGGAGAACGCGGATTGGCCGCATTTGCAGACCATTGTGACGAACTGGCATCTGTCTCGGTACGATACAATGAAACCATCAATGATGGTTCACTGATGGCTTTGGCCAAGTTTGGCAAGATTCGCGTGAAAGAAGTTGATCTGACCGGATGTGCGTATGTGACCGATACCGGCTTGGCGAGTATGGCACGTTTTAACATCAACATGCAATACCTCAGTCTAGCGAAAACAGCATGCAGCGCATTGACAGCAGAAACATTCTTGGTCGGTCGCAGCGCACGCTATCTCCGTCACTTGGACCTCGGTTATCTTTGCAAAGATGATGTAGATTCAGCACGCCATGTTGCAAAGAGTTTATGGTCGAATACAACACTGAAACGATTCGCTATCTCCATGCCCGTCGCACAAGCCATGCTGGACGTCAGTAATGGACAGGCTGTTCCATGCCCCATCGAGTTTTTCGTTGTCCATGACGTACCGACAGAAACGCCTATCCAGTTTTTGAGGGATTTGGTCGCTATATTACCGAGTCTAAAGCATATCACGTTTACCCAAGACTATGACGAGATGGATACGTACATGTCCTTTTACAGCGAAAGCAGTACGCGACACACGGCACCTCACACCGTCATTTCTAAAGAAGCTGTTAAGGAATTCAACTTGGCTCAGTATCGCGTGATTGCCTCCATTACCAACGATCGTGAAACGATTGAAGGCTTGACATTACATTATTGGTAGTAGTTATTAAACATTTTCATTATACTTTTTTTTTGTGTATGAAAAAAATTATACTGCAAAACTGCCAAAAAAAACTTTTTTTTTCTTTTATTATTATCAATATTGTTTTCAGATAACATATATATACAAACTAACACAAAGAGAAAAGAGTGAAAAAGAAAGATCATGGCGACAACATCACCTCATTATTTACAATCACACTACATTAATCCAGCGAGTCTAATGGAGCTCAAAGTGCTCAGCCAAGTCGTGACGCAAATGCAACAACAAGGCAATGTCAAGGGCAGTATTCCGTACCTCGCCAAAATCTGTCAAATTGTCGACAATCAACAGACACAAGACAAGAAAAAAACAGCACTCGACCCCGTACGAGCCCAAGCTCACGCACAACTTGCGGACGCGTATTTCAAAACCCAACAATGGGTCCAATGTGAAGCATCATTGACTTTGGCTGTCAAGATATGGGAAAAAGATCGCGACAGCAATGCGACCTCGCTTGCTCATGCCTATGATCAGTTAATACCTTGTTATGAGACTTTGGGCAAGCAAAAAATGGCTGAATACATGGAGCAACGAAAAGCCAAGTTGATGGTTGCATCATCATCATCATCACCACCACCGGAACCTTCTACATCCTCATGAAAGGAGAAAAAAAATTTCTTTTGTGTAACCCTCCGTCAAAATACCATAGCAACAAAATCCCCCTGACGACGACCATGTCATTTTCCCTCGTCTTAGCAACCCTCAATTATCCCCATAGCAACCATGTAGTACAAGTTGTTATGGTACCTGAATCTCTGAACTTCAAATAAAAAGCACACTTGTTAATTCGCATATGTTTGGCATAGTGAAACAAGTAATTGATGGGACGTTTTTTTTTTTTTGACAGGGCTCTCTTGCATTCCACGCGTTTCCAGCAAGTGACTGACAGAGAAAAAATTTTTTCTCGTTCCGGCGCTTGAGAAAAAAAAACTATAAATAAGCAGTTCACGCCCATCTTCTTTCAAAATATTCTTTCTTTTGTGCTTGATTTTATTTTTTCGTTTTTTTCATAATGACAAAATAAACTTGCAACTGGTATGTTATTCTTTCATATATCTATATGGCTTTGTGGAAAGAGGGAAAATTTTCTTTATTTTTTTTGTTGTTTGTTATGATGAATCGCTCTCTTCGGGGGGTGCTCTTCGTTTTATATCTTATCGACCATGGTGAAAAATCTCTGTGTTTGCTGACACAGATGCATACTTGCCAGTATACTTTTAACTGAACAACAACAAAAAAAATTTTTTGGTGGGGGCATGGTGTGTGACTTTTTGTGAATGAAAAAAACTTTTTTTTTCTCGGAATTTGTTACTCATTTTATTTTACAGTTTTTTTTTTCACTTTTAGTTTTTCCTTTTGTCTTGTTTGAAGAAGGTCCTTTGCTTGTCATAAAGAGGTGTGTATTATCTACAATTTTTTTGTCTTGCTTTGGCGCGTACAGTTGGGTGCAGGTTCAGATGATGATGAAATCCCGTGTTCGCAGTTTTCTCTGTAAGAGGTTCATTGGAACTTCGCTGTCGGATCAACACTTCCTTGGATGTCTGATGAACTCGCTCAAGAGCCCAACTGTATATCTGAATGTATATTTCTTTGGCTTTAGAAAACTGACTTTGGTTTCTAATTTGCTTATTCAGATCTCTCTCTCTCTCTCTCTCTTTGTGGCAAGTTCCTTTATTTCAACAAGAAAGCTCTGAAAAAGGTATGTAGTATTTCTCCCCACTGGAACCCAGGGAGCGAGGGATGACTGTACAGGATGAAAGAAAACATCAATTTAGGAAGAGCCGACTTAGAGTCACTTGGACAGGAGTAGAAAAAAACTCTCCATCTGGGTGGCTTGTGCTGAGAGATGTTTGAAACTGAAAAAAAAGTTGTGTAGAAAAAAAAAGAGGGTGGGTAGTAGTGCAATTTTCAAGTCGCAAGAGCATCAATTTCCTGACCCTTCTTTTTTTTCAGGTATGTTCATGTTCATGAGGGAATTGGCGCCAAGTCGACCTTCCATTCTTTATTGTTATCACTAGTTTCTTTCAATAAAGGTTTGTGCTTTTTTTATGCCTTGTAAAACCCCGTTGTCTACAGTTGTTTGGTTGGTGGTTTGGTTCTTTTGGTGAGGTGTTGGAAGATACGCATTGAGGAAGGAGGAAAGTAACGTTGATTATGATGATTTTTTATTCATTTGCATTTCTGGCAACCTCTGGTTTTAATGTTCGTCCGTCTTACGACCGACCTGCATAATGAACTCAAACTATAATCTGATTCAGCGTTACTCTCTTTTATTCTTTTGTGCATCTTCTCTAAAACGGATGTATTATATTATTTTATTTTGCAACGATGATAGTAATAATAATAATAATAAAGAAAAAGTATAAATCATAAAAGTTGTTTACTATTGGGATTAAAACTCCTCTTGTGCCTCCTCCATTTCTGAATCGCCCAAGGAATCAGACGCCACTTCTTCGTAATCCTTTTCCAGAGCTGCCAGATTCTCTCGTGCTTCAGAAAACTCGCCTTCCTCCATGCCTTCGCCGACATACCAGTGCACAAACGCACGTTTGGCATACATCAAGTCAAACTTGTAGTCTAACCGACTCCATGCCTCGCCGATCGCCGTCGTGTTGCTCAGCAGGCAAACGGCACGCTGCACTTCTGCCAAATCCCCACCAGGAACGACCGTGGGCTTCTGGTGATTGATGCCCACCTTGAAACCTGTCGGGCACCAGTCGACAAACTGGATCGTGCGTTTAGTCTTGATGGTCGCGATAGCAGAATTGGTATCCTTGGGAACCACATCCCCGCGATACAGTAAAGTGCAAGCCATGTATTTTCCCTTGCGCGGATCACACTTGACCATCTGGTTATTCGATTCGAAGCAAGAGGTTGTGATTTCCGGCACAGAGAGTTGCTCGTGGTAGACTTTGGCTGCTGAAATAATCGGTGCATACGTGACCAGCGGGAAATGGATGCGTGGGTACGGCACCAAGTTGGTCTGGAACTCGGCCAAGTCCACATTGAGCGAGCCGTCGAAACGCAGTGAAGCGGTAATGGATGAGACGACTTGGGCAATCAGTCGGTTGAGGTTGGCGTAGGTCGGTCGTGCAATGTCCAGGTTGCGACGGCAAATGTCATAGATGGCTTCATTGTCAACCATGAAAGATACGTCGGATTGTTCCAACGTTGCGTGTGTGGTCAGAATCGAATTGTAGGGTTCCACCACCGACGTCGATACTTGTGGCGCCGGATAGACGCTGAACTCGAGCTTGGCCTTTTTGCCATAGTCCATCGATAACCGTTCCATCAACAAGGACCCGAACCCGGAGCCAGTGCCACCGCCAAACGAATGGAACAACAAGAACCCTTGCAATCCACTGCAATTGTCTGCCAGGCGGCGTATACGGTCCATCACATTATCGATCATTTCCCTGCCGACAGTATAGTGACCACGCGCATAATTGTTTGCTGCATCTTCTTTACCAGTGATCAAGAGCTCTAAAGTTTTACAGAGTGGGAGGTATCATCAGCATCATTACACGACAGTCTATATCTTCTTTCTTTGGGTATCTTGCATAACAACCAGGCTTTTTTCTTTGTTTCCTTGTCTTACGACGGACCATTGTGTTTTTTATATATATACTACATACCAGGATGAAAGAGTTGACGATAGGTACCCGTGCGCACTTCGTCAATCACCGTTGGCTCCAAGTCGACAAAGACGGTGCGCGGCACGTACTTTCCTTTGCCTGTTTCAGAGAAGAAAGTTTCAAATCTACTCTTGCAACGTAAAAAAAACAGCGAGTATCATAAATAAAAAGTAGCAGGTTATTGAACACCCCCCCTCTCTCTCTCTCTCTCTCTCTCTCTCTCCATTCCCCAATTCCCGATTCCCGATCGCCCTATTTTCCCTATCGGAATCTCTCGAGAAAAAAAAAGAACTTACGATCGATCTTGAACGGGCCGATCCTCCGGTAAACGACCGTCTGGAGAGATACCATGCTCGAGACAATACTATTATAGGGTGTAACCATTATTTAGCTATTTAAGCTCAACCTCCCCTTTCCTCATGCAAGTGTAAAAATAAAGAAGTACCAGTTCCCAGCACGCATTTCCTATCTGAACACCGGCTTGCCCTAAGAACGCATTAAAACAAAAAAGGGTTATATGTCTCGAGAATGTACATGGTCAGTGCTGCTGGCCAACTTTTGTTCTTCTTACCGATATGAACGGAAATAGCCTCGCGCATTTTCTTTTTTTCTATTTACTGAGTTGTAGTTATTACAAGTAGTTTCCCGTAAAAAAGCAGAAAAGAAAATAAAAGAAGAGGTGAAAGAGGGAAAAGTCAGAGGTGAGAAAAATGATGGGTTGACGAACCCTCATCCCTCCTGCTTCCACGCACCCAAGTTACGCAGCTAAAATAATTATTAATAAACAGGCAAGCGTTGTGTGTGTGCGCGCTTTCTGCCATTTGCTGGGAAGGATTCCTAAAGGGCGTCATCAGGCATAATACACTACTTAGGTCTTACTTTTGCATCTTATGCATGATGAATTCTCCTTCAATCCGCCACAGCAGCAGACTCTCCTCAAATAGGTGCTCTCTCTCTCTCTCTCTCTCTCTTTTTGGGGACTTTTTTGTCACGTTAAAAAGCACAAGAGTGAGTGAGTAGCCCCAAATTGACAGTTTTTGCTCACTGACTTTGTGCATACATCATGTATGGTCTTCTTTTTTCGGGTTCTTGCTCTGAGCAAAATTCTCTATAGAAACGTATACATGTATAGAAATGCAACCCGAAAGCGTATCGTGCCAGAAACGCAAAGGGAGTGGATGTTGTCGTAGTACAGCTTGGATCTTGTGATGGATCTAAAAAAATGTATTATCGTCATTCATTCGCTGAACGAAAAAAAGAAAAATAGTGTCTCACCTTACCTTTCTAAAGCGCAACTCCTTCTTCTTTATATCCTGTTGACTTTCTCGCGTCTCGCTATATAGTCCAAGCATGTCTTACGGGTCGATGAAGTGTAGCGGCTGCCGTGGATCCTGCAATAGAAGCTCCTGCCTCTGCACTTTTAAAAGATAAAGTGGCGCGCGTATAAGCAACGTCTGCATACAATGAGTGCCACCACTCATGCTGTGCTCACGCTTTTCTTTTACACTACTTTTTCATTCAGTGTGCATAGCAACACCGCCATCAGTCTAAGAAAACTCTTTATGGTGTGATAGCGTGCTCTCGGTAGTGTGCTTCTACTTAATCATACCATGATTTTCGTGGAGGCTGAGGCTATATCACATAAAACGTCATTTAACAAAGTATTGACTCAGTAACAATTGCCGAGAGTCCAGCAGTAATTATCCATCTTGAAGTTTACATGCCATTGAATACTGTGTGATTACATCATGGCATATACTACGTTGAATAAACGCTGGAAAATCACACCTTTGCATAAAAACGACGTAAACAGGACTAAATCGATGCGGAAAAGTCTAAAGGTCCAAGAATCTCAACGATAAGTGCACTATGCAGCATAAAGATGAAGGTTACGATACTGCACACACATAAAGGTAATAATAGCAATGACGTTTCTATTTTTTTTATAATATTTTATTTTGTTTTGTTTTGTAAAAGTAGCTTTTAGACGCGTACATTCCGGACAACATCGTCTACTGCTCTAGCAAAGTAGTCAACATTGCTTGTTGACAGACCAGCCATGGAGATACGACCGTTATCAGTCAAATAGATATGATACTTTTCCTTGAGAACCTTGACTTGAGATGCTATCATTGAGAAAGATTTGCATGATGAGTAAACCTCACACATTATTCTCTCTCTCTCTCTCCTATCCACATCCATACTCAGAGAAAGAAAAAAAAATCCAATCCTAATAATTACCGTGAAGACCAGTGAATGAGAACATGCCAATCTGATCAGTGATGTGATTCCATGTGCCGGGCGTGCCTAATTCGACAAGACGGGCATATAATTGCTTACGCATGCTGATGATTCGGTTGGACATGTATTTAAGGTTCTCCTTCCATTCGGCATAGAGGGCAGGGTCATTCAAGACGATATCGACAATACGGGAGCCATAGGCAGGAGGGTTAGAGATTTCAGAGCGCTGGAGCTTTTCGATTTGGGAGAAAACATGGCCGGCATCGGCAGGTGATTTGGCCACGATGGTCAAGTTACCAGCACGCTCACCTAAAAAAAAAAAAAAAATGAAGGCCTTTCATAAATCCACAAACTGTCTTTCCAGCCACGCATACTATATATCCCCCTAATTGACTTTACCATAGAGACCAAAGTTCTTTGCAAACGACTGAGCGACGAACAATTCGAAGCCTTGCTCGACAAAGTATCGCACAGCCCAAGCATCACGGTCAAGATCACCGGATGCGAAGCCTTGATAAGCGCAGTCGAAGAAGGGAAAGTGGCCCTTGGCACGCATCACCTCGGCAATGCCCTTCCATTGTTCTTGCGTGGGATCGACGCCCGTGGGGTTGTGAGCGCAGGCGTGAAGAATAAAGACACTGCCAGCGGGAGCAGAGCGCATGGTTTGGAGCATAGCGGCATAGTTTAATCCACGCGTCTCAGGGTTCCAATAAGGGTACTCTTCAACTTCGAATCCGACCGAGCTAAAGATGTTGCGATGGTTGGCTAGAAAAAATAAGAAAAAAGGTTTCCCCTTTTTTCAGTCATCATCTCTGTGTTATACTCAAACCACCCCTTTATGCCTTTCAACGAATGATACTGTACCCCAGGTAGGCTTAGAGATATAGCATTTGCGGCTTTTGGTGTAGTATTGGGCAAGGAAAGCAGCCCCAGTGTGGTTAGCACCAGTGCCGGAAATGGTCTGAACAGCAGCAACGCGGTTCTCGCGAATGGCCGGGCTTCCTTGACCGAGAATCAACTTGGTAGCAGCTTGGGTATAGGAAGGTTGACCGGCAATGGGAAGGTACTCGTGATCGAGTGAAGCGTCATTGAATAGAATGGCATCGGCCTATTATGCACAAGGTGTGTCAAAAAAAAAAAAAGCACACACAAGGTTTCTCCGGGATCAGTTTTCGCTTGTCTTGACCCATTCCTTTTTGTCCTTTTTTTTTATTCTTGCCATAGAGCCTTACCTTCTTGACGACAGGAAGCACGTAAGGCTTCAGTGCGTCGGTTCGGAATGCACCGACACCCACGTTGATCTTCTTTGGGTCGGTATCGGCTTTGTAACCAGCAGTCAGACTGAAAATAACGTCGGCAGGAGCTTGAGGTACGTTCTGAAACACGGAAGCTATATTTCAATGCATGGCATAGTGATATATTACATATATAAGTATGGAAAAAAAAGGCATCATATACTTTTGTGGCAGCAGTACTTTACCCATCTTGTCGTTAGAATCTAAATGAGCCGAGATTTGGCCGAGACGTTGTTGAGAAGAGTTTCCTGTCATATTTGTTATTGTTGGTGGTATTATGTGGCGGTGTGCGTGATTTGTTTACTGTCCGAGGAAACTTTAATAAAGAAAAACAGATAAAAGAGAGAAAAGAGAATCTGGGGTTTATAGAGTTCTTTGTATCCTTTGCTACGACGTTAGGTTGGTCGGTTCCAAGCGGCGGTCATCCATTTTAAAAAAAAACCATTATATTGTTTTTGTAATGATTTTCATGTGAAAAAGCGCATTTGGCCCGTGAGTTTTGTAATTGACCACGTTACGAGTTTCATTACAATTACTCTATCGTGAGAATGCGTCGCGATGATTTCCTTTTCGGCAAACAGCCTTACTCATTCCGAGGAACACAAAATATTTCGATTGGGTAATTGCAGCGCTTAGTCAAAATAAAAGATTGCGGTTACGAGAAAAGTGTGCAACACGAAGTAGTCGGTTCTCCGGATTTACATCTATTTACTCCACTCTTTTGACTCCATTTTTGAAGTTGAACTATTTGCCGATCGCTATGCTGTTGTACCACCCGCTGCATTATCCCCTTTTATTCCTCTTATCTTTAGCTGTTCACACGCACACTCTCTTTGGAAATCACAATGACAACGACCAAAATGAGTTGCCATCATCTACTATGCAATAATAACAAGCAAGGTAGTAATTCGATATAACATCTAACCAACACATGTCAGGCACTAAGGTTTTCTATTTAAATCATAGCTTTAAGAACATAAATATGCTCTTTGAACAGTGATTTGTTTTTTTGCTGCCTACTACTACTTTGAGTGTCACATATGAGCCTCTCCTTCTTATCGTCACCATAAATATGTAAGAAGAGATTATGATATTTGACTTTTTAAAGATCGTCGTGGGCTATCAAGTTGTCGTTTGCTAGCAGTGCTTCGACCGAGTACAATTCCGCCATGTGATACGTATATGTGTCGGCATGGCACTAAAGGAATGCTTAGCTAAATAATCTCATGTGCGGTGGAGCGGCCATTTACTTTGTAGTATTGTATATAGCAAAGTTCCCTTTGACTTTGCCATCAAAGATTGTCTCCAATTCTTCCAGCGTTCGACGTTGAAAGAAAGCTGCTTGTTGATTGATCTTGTGTGCAATGAATACATCATTTTGTTTACAGAAGGTTTAGATATACTTTACGATCCATTATAAACAAGATTCGGTGCTGCTATTTATACCAATTGGCTAGCAATAGTGTAGTAGCTGTGAATACCAAATTGAATTGATTGTATCATCTTTGAATCGATGCTTTAAAGCGGGAACGAAGGATAGGACAGAACTATCACCACGGTATTTGTAATGATATTCTTGTACTGCTGGACATAGACATCGTTCAAAGACTCATTGTGCTCGCTCGCAGGAAGCTCGATTTTGTCATTGATAATGTTTGTCTTTGCTTTGTTACTAACGAGCATGGGGCAATCTTTGTTCTCCCAATTACACCATTCGAAACATCGTCCAAATCAATTTAACGCTTTTGCCGACGACGCACCCCCTGTCGGGTTAGCATTTGGGACGGAACTCACCCGCTATATAGAAAGAAAGCAAAAAAAGCGGAATCAAGTCTCAATGTTTGAATATCTTTATATACGGCAATATTCATTTAACTCCTAGACTTACAACATGTTTTGGTTTCATCTGTTGGTCTAAATAATACATTCATGATGATGTGATACCATTATGCAAAAGCTCGAGTTTTCGGAGCTAATCGAGCCCCACTGTTTACTATAAGCTATTGAGGAGAAGCAGATACTAGCAGTCAATATTATACTCTACGTTCATGTACATGATAGAGCCTGCACATGTTCGTTTGATAACTGGATAAGCGTACATGTAAGTGATAACATCTTTGATTATCAACTTGATATTATTGGTTTCTGTATTGTTGGTGACCAACTCCATCAACGAATTAGGCCAAAAAAAAACTCGCGCAACCCATTCACGCCCTCGTCGACATTTATTTTCTAAACAGGTTTTTGGATGACACCATGGCAAACGAGCTGTGTCTATTGATTCTTTTCCGGTCTAACTTGTTTTTTACCATTTTATTATGTCTGACAATAATCTTTGCTCTCTTTCGTTCACAAACCAAATTATCCACGTTCATCATCACGGATGCATTCTGTAGCTGCCTGGAGCGTATAATCACCGATATATAGCTTCTCATAAAATATTCTTCGCCCGGATAACACACGATACATTAGGCAAAAGGTTTTCGACATGAGTATTGTGTCGTAGGCTCACTGTATGTTTACCGTCGATTTCGGTAAGCTGGATTGGTTAAGTGGATAGGAAAATCCCGGACAAGTTCGATCATACTGAAGATGTAGTTCGCCCTGCATGGGCCACTTTTTCATTCGCAGTCCTTGTGAGCAGGTACTTGGCAGTAGTAGTTATCTAGGAGCACTCAAACTAAGCCAGCAGAAAGATATTACTTTCTAGGAGCTGCTTAAACAGGAGAAAATCGATTATCTGGTAGAAGGACGTACTTACCATTCTTTAAATTTTTCACAAACAGTTGAAAAGTAAAAACCTTAGCTAACAAGATCAAAAACTCCAAATTACCGCCGTCGTCGTCTGCTGCTAATTGTGGGCTCTCGCCAAGGAGTCCAACGCGTGCTGTGTGAATCTTCTTTTGAAAAAAAAAAAAACATACAAAGCTTGAAAGAACGTAAAAGAGTTTAAGTCATCGTTGGTTTCCATAAGTTAGAGTGTCTCATATACATCTGTACATATTTGTTATATGGCTGCTGCTCACAACTTACTTTATCATATCATGTACATGCTTCCCGGAGTGCTGATGAGGTCGCTTGCATGAACCAGCTTATAAGATCGTGTCCATCCGTGATTGATGACTAAGGAAAAGGTTGAAGCGCTGAAAGTTATAGTAAATGGCATGAGACATACTACTAACATTTTCTTTCTAGAAAAACTACGAATGTCGTGTTATAGGCATTTGTACGAGCCTTGTCAATTTAACAATATAGCTAGACTCACATGTTGTTGTAAGTCGCTCAGCAGTGTAATCATCTGCCACTAGCTGCTGATCCACACAATGGATCTAAGCATGGTGCGCAACAAATTTTTACTCCTGAGATATGTTAATTTCTTACTGTTAGCCTGTAACCTGATATACTTTGAATCCAAAGGTAGAATGTGGGCGTCGCTTTTTTCGAGTAAGTTTGAGCTTCGCTAAAGGACATCCTTTATTCATTTGAGGAACAAAGTCTCAAAAACATACAATAAGAGCAATTGCCGAAAAATGGAAAACAGCATGTCCACCAAGCCTTCCTATAATAAAAATCGACATGATGGGGTCGTCACAACGTTAAGACAAGGCGGTTGATGAAAGGCTGGAGAGAGCCTTCAAGATGAGCAAAAGTAGGTATCACCGGAAAGACGCATTACATCCAAGATAAAACAAGGGATAACAAATGCGAACGCAATGATATTACTGTCGCGTCGGTGTTAGAGCTCGCGTTCCGGTTGCTTTTGGAACTTCAAAGGTGGACTCGTTTGCGTGGATGATAATTAGATTGACTGATTAAAATACCACTCGGCTACAACAAGCAATTTTCCATAGATAAAGCTCATTGCAAACATGCCTCAGCATTGCGTAGTAAGTAGTCTCTGGCGTTGTGCATTACAGTATACGAGCCTCCTGTGATTGAGACGGCGAATGAAAAAAGAAGAAGCTGGCATAAAAAAAAGCTGTAGCGATTATTTTGGAATCCAGCGACTCAAGTTGTTTCCTCAGCTTCTACGTTTCTTTTTGCTGTGATACACGTTCTTTCCAGGTGTGGAGGCTTCGTCCTTTTATGGACTTTTTGGATAGTGGAAATGAGATCATGGGCGTAGTGAATACTGCTACGTGAGTAGTATAGCGCCATCAAAGTCTTGTTATTTACGCTGGGTGTGTATGGAACAATGTATACGCGGTTGACGGATTATAATTGTTTTGCAGTCATGGCAAAACGGCTATCAAATCACTCATTTCCTGCCAAGTGTTTTCTTTCAATAAGTTTGCCAAGGATCCATCACGTAACTTAGCCCCGAGAGACTTGGCATAGGAAGAAGAGCTGTTGTTGTTGTTGTTGTTGTAGCTGCTAATCAAGTCAGTCCAACCCCTCCCTCCATCACCAGCATACAACAAACGATGCTCGCCTTGAGAAAAAAAGAGAAAGAAACTGTCAAATGATCAGCCCCCCAAAGCGAAAAGTTGCTCAGTCAAAATACGTCGAAAAAGGAATGGCGGATTCTCCATGCGCAGCAGCAAAATAGCAAAGCTATTTTTTGGTTCCCAACTCGGTCGGCCGCGCACACACACGCATACTTGCCGGGTTCCTTTTTTTCTTCTTCTTCTTCTTCTTTCTCTTTTCGCTCTTTTTACTTGACTCACTTGACGACGACGACAACAACAACAACAATGGCTTACAATTACAATTCACCCTACCAACCCCATTCGGCATATCCTCCACCACAGCAACAGGGCTACCCGCCTCAAACACCACAACAGGCTCCTGCGCCAGGATATCCGATGCAACAACAACAACAACAACAACGACCACCCAGTAAGGCCTCCTCCCTTCCCTCCCCTCTTTGAAAACCCTTTACGTAGAAGAAAAGCACAGACTCGATCCGCTGTTGCTAAACGATGAAAACCCACACACAAATGACCTAGTGCGACCTCCACCACCCGGTGCCGATCCCCAGCTCTGGTACTGGTTCCAAGCGGTCGACACGGACTGCTCTGGCTTTTTGACGGTAGACGAGCTTCAACGAGCACTGATCAACGGTGACTGGACACCGTTCAATATTGAAACAGTACGCATGATGGTATCCATGTTCGACACAGGTAAAGAAGAAAACAGTGGAGGGAGCGGGTTGGATGGGTCAAAGTGTATATAAGGGGGATTATTGACGGGTGGGGGGTGTTACTTGTAGACAATACAGGCACAATCGATTTCAATGAGTTTACGGGACTGTGGAGATATATCGAAGACTGGCAACGGTGTTTCCGGACATTCGACACGGATGGGTCGGGCAACATTGATGCTCGGGAATTGAAGAATGCATTGCAGACGTTTGGCTACAACTTGTCCGAACGCTTTGTTGCTGTGCTTATCCAAAAGTTTGATCGATTTGGCCGGGGTAACATCACCTTCGACAACTTTGTACAAGCCTGCGCCACCATCCGTGCCCTGACAATGGCATTCCAGCGTTTTGATACGGACAGGGATGGTGTTATCCAGATCACTTATGAACAGGTACGTTGGGGGGCTGATGTGAAGAAGGATCATGGAAGAACACCGAGGGAAGAGTTTGGATTCTTACAGGCATCTTTCTTTTTGTGCGGAATATACAGTTTTTGGAACTTGTCATCCAACAGCGTACGATCTAAGTGGCGGCAGCGACACACACACACACACACACATACATACTATACAACCTCTCATCCATCTCCTGCCCCTGTTTTTACTCTTATCACTACATTTTACTTATACTCTCACGCACTCGCACACACACACACACACACACTCAGTCACACACACACACCAGCAACATCAACATCCTCCTTTTTATTTCCTAGTCGACTTATTTCACACTGTAGCAATATATTACGTGGTCAATGGGCTTTTCTATTTTTTATATTTAAATACGCACGTTTACGCAAGCTTGTTGATTGGTTCGTTTTTCCCTCAATATCCGAATTTGGGATAATCTTTAATTCAGTCAAGCAGTCTCAGAGAAGCATGTCAGAGAAGCTAGTAAAGCAGCCTTTGAAGTCTCCATAAAGAGCCACCATGCACAGCTTTCTATGGACCTGTGTTTTAAAAGTTACAATCTAAACATCTCCATGTGATTCACTAGCTTATTCTGCAAGGGTTCGTTTGTTCCATTTCAGAAAGAGCTGAGGGTGCGGCTATAAAGTCAGGATCCAGTCCTCCCCCTTCACTTTGAAGCCTCCTCAACACCACTTTGCATCAACACTTTGAAAAATGATATGGTTTTGGAGGATCTCATCGTCTCAAAACCCTGGCCCAAACACACAGCTCAACGCGGGAACTCTTTCTCGGAGAAACAAGCAGTCCAGAGTCATCCGCAACAAAAAAAAAAAAAAAAAAAAGATTTTTATGCTCCGTTCGCCACACTCCGTGACGCCTATATAAGGAGGGGGTTTGGTGTGCAAACAGTTTTTTTTTTTTTCTTTAGAATCATTTTATACGAGGGCAGCCACGGTATGGGTCAAAGCTTTTTTGCGATGGATCAATACTGCCAGGTCTACGGACTCTAGCCACTCAAGAGCTGATAGTTCTCTAGCCCTTCGGGGCACTAGGAAGCAGTGCTCGTACATGGTCATTTGTTTGGCCTTTGGAGTCCTGTGCCATGGGGAACGAAATTTCTTATTTCATTCAAAATCAAAGAAAATGACAAAGAAAACACCACAGAGGATTGTTGGGGGGGTTGTTAAGGTCTGAGAGGGTGGTAGTTTAGCCTCTGTCGGGGACACATAACATATTTTTAGACTGCCACACTAATTTGGCAGCAGCAGCAAACACACAATTTCCCTCCAAGTCATGCACTCTTTTTCTTTGGGTTGTTGAGAGGTTCGGTTTACTTGCTTGAACCCTTTTTTTCTTTTTTCTTTCTTATTGTATAAACTTTTTCCTCTTCTTTTTTATGCTTGTTGCATGGAAGTCGTCCAAGTACAGCCTCGAGACTCGTATCTGCACTATATTTATGTGCCCTCCAGAGGCACTGCCATTCGCTGGTCCTTTACGACCAAGCGAAAGAACATTGCGTTTGGTTTGTACCGACGATTGGGGCCTGCTCGTCTTCCGTCATCGTCTGAATTCATCTTTCAACAGCAAGACGAACAACAGCGGCGAAAGTCGTCTGTAGGCGACTTGTTCCCCGTCTGTAATGATATTATTAATAATAGCAGCAGCAATGGTATATATATATATATATAGATGCATATACCCCCGTCTTTTATCGTTCCTAACTATGATGGAAATATAAAGACATTCATCTGGGAAAACACATGTGTTTAGAAGCTGCTGCAACCACTAGTACGGCAGACAAACCATTGAGCAATACAGGCAACAATGCATCGTCATCATCTTCTCAAGGACTTCATCACCTACTACATATCAACGGCATCCAACGATCCAAAAGCGTGAAACTAGCATCCGTCAAACTCAAAGAACAAGAAGATTTAACTGAAGTATTGCCGATCCAGCATTGTGTTTCAGCCAATGTCAAGGTGGAAGGCAGTTATGTCGTCCAAGAGCCTGGCAACTACATTCTTGTTTTTGGTATAAAACACAAAAGATACAAAACAACACAGGAGTGCTAGAGGGGGGCCCTTTTCATAATGGATCTAATTACTTTCTTTGTTATTGTTTGGAGTCTAGACAACACATTCTCACGAAACACGCCCAAGGTCCTCAGCTTCTCGGTTGCATTAGCCGATGCCAATCTATTCAATCCACGACTCTCCATATCGGATGATCCACAGCAACAACCTGTTTCCGGCTGGTTATTGAAGAAGAAGCGCAAGAAAATGCAAGGTAAGAGAGAGAGAGAGAGAGGGCTGCTTGTTACTGGTAGCCAACAACATCTTTGAACTGATTATTAGGGTGGGCCAAACGATGGTTCCAGCTGTCAGCATCAGGCGTGCTGTCCTACTCAACATCACCAGCAAGTGTTCGTCGGGGGTCGATCCAGATTCTCGTGGCAACAATATCCATCAATCCTTTACAACGCCTGATCCACATCGACTCTGGAACAATGATATACCATTTAAAGACATTGACTGCAGAAGACCAGGCAAAATGGACAAAAGCATTACGTGACTATCGAACAACACCACCCGCACCGGTGGATGAGTGTCAGCAACAACAGCTGGCCTTTCTGCAACAAATACAAGAGGAAACCACTACCGCGATGCACGAAAACAACAGTGCCATGCCACCACCACCATCGTCAACAGCAGCAGCAATTACAAAGAATAGTGATAGCCAATACTATCAACAACACATCAAAAAGGGAACCAAACTGGCCACGCTATTGCTCGCAGACATGACCGGTTATTTCCGACGGGTGGATGAGGAACTGGACCTGGTGCCGTCCCATGGCAGGTCTGCTGACAATGCCATTCAAGGCTTCTTGGCGGAAAGCAAGCAGCGGATATTGGATGAGCTGATGCAAATGCAAGCATTGTGGCGGGATATTGAGCAACAACACACCATTCAGTCAAAAGATGACACGGACACCATGCTACCGACGCCACCCTTTGACAATGGTGTCCAAAGACAAGACTCGCCATTTGATGTGATGAAGCGACAAGAAACGCCATTTTTGTCGGTGCCACCTTCCCCAGCCAATCTCTTTATGTACCACAACAACACGACTGTATCGTCTTGGCGTGGATCGACCTTGTCAGAGCAGTTTTTTGACGCGGAAGAGATTTTATTGAGTGGTGAAGATGAGGACGAGGACGATTTTCGAATTGCCGAGGAGGAGGATAGTGATGATGATGATGATGACGAATATGATGATGGTAATAAGGAATAGAGATCCGTGTATGGAAATCGGTCGGATAGAAAGTGTGAGAAAGTTAACTAGCAAAAGAAATGGTTAGATCGTACACCTTCGACCGACTCCATTGAGCTGATGAAAGACGCCTATCCACAACAATGCACACGACGATTACAGCTACCAGCGCCTGCAGCAACTGACGAAGTATCCGCCTTTTCCTTCATACGCAAAAATGTCGGCAAGGATCTATCAACGATTGCCATGCCTGTCAGTATGAACGAGCCACTCAGTATGCTTCAACGAGCATGTGAAGAATTGGAATATTCAGAACTGTTGGATAAGGCTGCCGGATTTTCGGATTCGTTGGATCGGTTGCTTCATGTCGCTGTGTTTGCAGTGTCTGGTTACGCTTCATCACAATACCGCATGGGTCGCAAGGTAAAACTCATCAACTTCTACCTACAGCAAAATGGTTTTTTTTTTTTATGGGCGCTGACCCCCCTCTTTTTTTTTACTTTTCCAGCCGTTCAATCCAATGATGAACGAAACGTATGAGAATGTACGGCCCGATAAAGGCTTTCGATTTATTGCTGAAAAAGTGTGTCATAACCCATTGATGATTGCGGTGAGTTGATTTTCCTAGTATTCCTGAAACAAAAAAGCGACTAAAACTCATCTTTTCTTTCTTTTTATAGGCACATGCAGAATCTCAAAACTACAAACTGTGGCAATGTGTTAAAGTGCGAAGCAAATTCTGGGGCAAATCCATGGTAAGACTTTTCCCTTACAACCTTAGAAATATGTTTAATTTGCTGCTGTTGGATAATAATAATAATAATAATAATAATAATAGGAATTCATCAATGAGGGTACCTATCATGTTACACTCACCGGCCATGCGGATTACATTACATACTCGAAACCATCCAGTTGGCTGCGGAATATGATTGCTGGCAACAAATATTTGGAACATGTGGGCGAAATGAAGGTGACAAACCATACGACGGGCGAGTATGTGATTGTGACCTTTAAAGAAGGCACAGGTGGCTATTTGTTTGGCGCCGCAAAGCAGTGTAACGAAGTGATCATGCATGCGTATGATCCAACGGGCCATAAAGTACGACGCGTCGTAGGCAAATGGAACGAGATGCTTGCAGAGCAAGTCAATCCCAACCAGCTGTCCGTTTTGTGGACCGCGACACCACCGACCTTGAAGGACTATGCGCGACATTTTGGATTTACTCAGTTTGCTACGGAGCTGAATGAGATCACGGCCATTGAACGAAACAAGATACCGAAAACAGATACCCGTTATCGACCGGATCAGCGACTCTATGAGCATGGTATATATGGAATTTAGTATGGTAGTAGAGGTGGAGGAGAGAGAAAAAAAAAACCAACGTAGCTACGCTTGATATACTCAAAGTGGACTTGTCTTGCATCTTTTTGTGTATGCAAAGGACGCGTGGAAGAAGCAGATGCTGAGAAACTGCGGATCGAGCAAAAACAACGTGAACGGCGTAAACAGTTTGAAGCAGCAGGAGTACCGTGGAAACCACGGTGGTTTAAGCTCCAGGAAGACAAGTACACAGATCCATCGCTCATACCTTCAGCAGATGGTGTGGCACGGTCATGGCACTATGGAGGAGAATACTGGCTATCCAGGGAAACTGGTCAATGGCCGAGCGACCAGTTTGATTTGTGGTGAAGGGCTGACGGACAACTATGATACATAAGCCTTTCATACGAATATACTCCTCTTTGTTACTGCTACTCTTTGATAGCAGTACTCTTTTTTTAATAATGTCGTTACTCAGAAGCAAAACATCTCTATCGGATGAAATATATTAACTTTTTTTTTTTTGTACAGAGAAAAAGCTTGTCAACAAGTCTTTTTGTGTGTCGTATAGAATGGAAGCGAGGACTGGGGGGTGGGAGAGGTGGGACTTTTTACGGGAAAAGAAAAGGGTTAATGCAAGTTTTAATACAAAGTGATATGTTGTGTGTGTGTGTGTAAAAATAGGTTGGGATGGATTGATTGGTTTCTTTTAAAGGTTCTTCAAGACAGCGTTGACAACGTCGTTGGTTGTGCTCTTGCCACCGAGATCGGGAGTCAAGATCTTGCCCTCAGCCAAGACAGCATCGACAGCATCGTACATCTTCAGGGCATGCTGGGTGTGACCAAGGTGCTCGAGCAACAAACCGGCAGAGCGGATGGCGGCAATAGGGTTGGCAATACCCTTGCCAGCGATATCGGGAGCGGAACCATGGACGGGTTCACCGACGACAAAGTCGTCACCGACGTTGGCGGAGGGAACCACACCCAAAGAACCAACAAGGGCAGCAGCACCATCACTTCGGGGGAGGGATTGGCACGACATGCATTAGCATAACGCTTTTCCCGCTTATAACTTAAAAGCTTTCTCTCTCTTTTTTACCTGATGATATCACCATAGAGGTTGGGTGCGACAACTACATCGAAAGCCTCGGGTTCACGGAACATACGGTAGACCATGGAATCGACCAACTGTTCCTCCATATCGACACCACTGTACTTGTCAGCGTTCTGTTCCTTGACAGCACGGACGGTTTCACGCCACAAGCCATCAGTAACGCTCATGACATTAGACTTGTGGACGATGGTGACGCGTGGGTTTTGCTGGATGTACGGAGTAGTGGAACACAATACATTAGCCCCTTCCACTTTCTTTTTTTTTTTTTTTTTGAGAAAATCCCCCCATCCTTTCTCTGTTTCTCCTGAGCGCCAATTTACCTTCCAGAAACGCTTCTCCAAAGGCTTCTGTTCACGCAACTTTTGACGCGTCAAAGCCATGTTGAAGGCCATGGCACCAGCACGCTTGGAGGCGTATTCGGTGATCTTACGATCAGCAAAGGCAACCTTCAAACCAGTTTGAGGGTCAACCTCTTGACGCTCAGACTTGATGTACTATTATATATACAATAGAAACATATCAGTTACAACCTGCCACATTGAGAATTTTTTACACACGTCTATGCCGTCCCACACTTTTACTCAAATGTTAAAGTTCTTACCAAGCACTCGGTGTTTTCACGGATGATGAGCATATCCAATTCGCGCTGATCAGGGAATGCAGGCGACTTGACCGATGCGACAGGACGGACGTTAGCGTACAAGTCCAACTTTTTGCGAAGAGCAACAATGGGCGAAGAGTAGCCAGCAACCTTATGCGAAGGCGAGCTATATAAACAGCGCATCATTTAGTATCCTGTTGCTGTTGTCGTCGTCGTCGTCATCGTCATCGTCAGCAAGAAAGTGCATGACACACTCCTGGTTGTGTCTATCCGCGCATCCCTCTACTTTACCTGACAGCACCAAACAAAGCACCGTTGCACTCGTTCTTCAAGACATCGAGGGTTTCCTGTGGCAATGCAGTGCCGGTCTTTTGAAAGTATTCAAAACCAGCATCCAAGTTGACAAAGTCAAACTTGGGACCATCAGAAAGAGCCTCAAGGACAGTGCGTGCAGCCTAATTAAAAAAAACCGCAGTATCTAACATGTTTAGTTTTCCTAACACTGTTCTGGTGACAAATGTGTTGCAGTAGTAGTTTAGTTGCTTACGGGAATCACTATTAACGTTTAAAAAAGAAGTGTCAGTTTTCCTTCCCTCCACCCCGCATTGATCTATGCTTGTTGTTGATTAAAAAAAGGAAATATATACCTTCACGACCGATACCATCGGCGGGAATCAAGCCGATCTTGACATTAGAAGGAGCTGCAGAGGCAAAGCCACGTCGAAGAATGTTGGAGGCCATTTTTTGTTGTTTATGTATCAAGAAGAAAAAGAAAGATGTGGAGGTAAAGACAGATGGGGACCGGTTTGCAAAGGGGGGGAAAAGATGTCAATTTCTCCTTCCGCCACTCCGGTCCGAATCGGCCGTCACGATTTAGAGATCGTGATAATCAGTGGGAGGGGGGGCGCCTTATATATATAACCTGGTCGACAACGTCCCTTTTTGACAGTTTTTTTTTTTTTTTTTGTTTCTGTCCATGGTAGTAACACAGTAGTGTATGCGTCTCTGTCTCTTTGAAAAAAGCGATATGTACCACTAGTATTCTTACACGTAACAATTAGAAGCATGATTTCTCTATTTGTATATAAACGATTGCTAGGGTGCAGTTGCTTCCTAGTCAGATCATTTAAAATAAAGGTATCATATTATAGCAACAAAGGCACTTGCTCATTCTTAGAGAGTGGAGATCAATTTTTGTTTATGCAAACAGCGAAATAAATTTTCTTTGTGCGCATCTCAGTGCTGCAGTTCCATCCCTATAATGCAATGCTCAGTGTGACGTTCTTTTTCTTTTTTGCAATGGCACTGATTAACATGCAAGCCAAAGGCTATAATAGAATAACAACAGTACCATAGTTTGAATATGCGACTTACTGTCCAACAAGCAATAATGATCAGTGGAAAACAGCGACAAGGGGACAGGTAAAAGCCGAGACGCACAAGTGTTGTAGCATGGTCCACGAAAGCATAGTAGGGTGTGTCCCTATAGCAACATATGACACATGCATCGTCCCATGTGACTTTTTATATATTTTAAAAAAAAGTTTATAGATGGAAAAAAGGATTTGCTAAGATATTGAGCTAGTAGGATGCCAATTCGGGTAACGGAAAAGGAAAAAGAGGAGAGAGAGAGAGACAAGACATCTATTATGCAGCAGATGAAGGATCAAGCTTTTCTAACCGTTGTTTGGCAGCTTGTTCAGCAACGGGAAGGTAATACAAGGCAGGGAGGGCAGTGGTCTTGCGGAAAAGCTCATCGAGTGATGCAGTAGGTGCAGCAGGAGCAGAGGCTTCGAGCTGTCGTTCAAGTTCTTTCGATGAGGTATCTGTTTGAGCGAAATGAATGGACCGTTCCTCTGGCAGCGCGCTTCCGGGTGCAAGCACAGATGCCGTGGCGGCTAAACACATGAAAAGACGCGTTTGTCAGGAAACCTTTTTAGTTCCATGTGCCATCGATTCTAAACCACACACAAACAACGCCGTCGCTTTTCTACCTTTTTGTAATTCACGAGTGATTTGACCAATACCGCTGAGACGTTGTCTTCTTGGTTCCACCTGATCCGACGGTGCACGGTTGGCTTCGAGAGACTCGCCACGACACACGGCAGCAATGGCCTTCTCCCAATCCAATTTGATGCCCTTGGATGCAGCCGTCTGTTCTTGGCCAATCAATGCTTCGGCTTGTTCCGGTGTCAATCCGCCCACTTGCACCTTGCGTCCGGTGTCACGGGGAAACACAATACCGTCAATCCCACCGAAAGCGTCTTTTGCTTCTTTCTCAGTTTCATACTAAATTTCCCCCAAAAAATATATAAGTATACCATGTTTTAAACAGGGAAATTGCAATGGTTTTGTTAAAGGAAAACTCACAATAACATAGCAGTGCGTTTTAATTGCATCCATCCAGAACCGTTTGACGGTACCGTATTGGTTGATTAACTCTTGGACGTGTCTGATTATCAAGGGTCGTACAAAGCCCTTGATGTATATTGCTGAACTGGTGACACTGGTGTCTTGTTGTTGCTGTTGGACAGCTTCCATATCCTAAAAAACCAAATGATGGGTTAGCAATGTCACGGTACGCATTTCTTTTTTACGATGGCTCTTGATCTGAAAGGTTTCCTTGAAATAAATAAAAAAAAAACACCACTTACTGTTGTCTCGTCTGTGCTTGCCTTGCTTCGCTTTTCAGTCGATTTTTCGGCTATACAGGTTTTGTATGACATTTTTTGTCAATTATATATATTTTTCGAAGCACTGGTGATGAAATTATAAGCTTGGTTGCTATGATTGCTTACCTTCTGTATCTAGTCGCTTTCTCTTTGTTCCCTTGATATCCGATTCTTCTTCAGCTGGTGCTGGCCGTTTCTCGCTCTCCTGTTCCTCTACGGATGCTGCTGCTGCTGCTGCTGCCACAGGTTTATCCTCTTTCATTGGCTCTTCTACTGCCACGGCCTTTGATCCTTCTTTTGGAGACTGGGTCGCTTCTTTCGGCTTTGATTCTTCCACAGGTTGAGTGGAATCTGCTGTCGTCGCTGGTTGAGTCTCGGCATCTGCTTGGTGTTGTTGTTGTTGTTGTTCGACGACAGGTGCCGGTACTGATGTTGGCTCTGGTTCAGGCTCCACGTTGTTCACTGGTGGTGATACCATTGAATCTTGTTGTTGTGGAGGAGCCGCTTGTGATTCTTCTTTTTCTGTTGCTGCTTGTTCTTCTTGTTGTCCATTTACTTCTTGAGGTTGTTCATTTGCTGTCGCGTCTTCTTGTTCTTTATTTTCATTAATCCATTGCTGTAAGCGGGCAATGAGTTCGTCTTTTTTACCCTTGACAGGTAAACTACGCTGGGTGAGCTCTGCCTTCAGATCCACTACTCGCAACTTTGAAAGATCGTTAGGTAACATTTCCGATTTTTGGTTTTTAAAATTTAAAAAGAACTACGAAACAAGGCAAGCGCGTTTTTTTTTTCCTCTGGGATACATGTATATTTTTCGTGTGTGGGATTCTCATATACGGGGTAAAGTATTTCAGTCTCAGGCGATTCCTTCCTTCCCCCAGAACTTTTCAGCTTCTGGTTGTTGCCTGACTAGAAACAAGGCTTCTTCCACTCACCTTTGTCACTTTCATCATCGCCTTTGTAAAGGATATTTTTACCTCTCTGCCTTATGGCAGCTGTTCTGGTTTACCGTACAAGGAATACTATTTGGAACGATACTGTTGGAAGTTTTTGTTATTAAAATCAATAATATAGCGTGGTTGTGGTAGTACCAGTAGTAACGCTATTTATGCAACTGATAACTCGTCGCTAGTACTAGACCTATCAAAGCCTTCACATGTAAAGCTAAAGGAGTAGCTTATGCTAGCATCAGATGTCTCGTTATATAGAAAAAGATTTTGAGTCCGAGATGGAAAAGCAATAATGTTTATTGTTCCAAAGGATACTTCTCAATCCCAGTCTATCTAGCTTGCTGACCCTTGCATTTTCGCGTATTCAAGGACATAGTTGAGCATAGTGCATTAATGTATAGGAATGTGCTGTTGCTTGCTTAACGATATAAGCAAACATGAGACATGAAAGGGGTGCTGCTGATGAGAGGGACATAATCAGATGGGAAAGGTCAACCAAACTAGATGCAATAATCTCAACTGGATATATCGTACGTAAATAGGACTAGGCAGCAACAATCTCTCCTTTTCTATCATCATGATTATCATCGCTTTGATGTTCTCGTCGGTTCTCAGACGGAAACAGTATCCAAACTAGGTATCAAGGACTATCGTAAGGCAGCAACATTGGGCGTATTTACTCTGATCTTCTTGTTCCTGGATGTGTGTTAAGGAAGGAAAATATCTCCACATAACGTTTTAACGTTAAATCGTGTTGCCGTAACAGCAGGATTAAATTAAATAAGCTGTAGAATGTGTTTGAATATAAGCAGGGACAAACATATGTCCTCTATTTCATAGCAAGTAGACAAACGGGCAAGCCCAATATTTGAAAGCTTATAAGCATGTGTCGAAAAACCACTGAAAGATAGATACAAAGATACGTAAATAGTATGATTGTGCGTAAAGACTTGTGGATCATTGGCTATTTATTTCAACGCTCAAAACACCCTATGGGATATCAACACCAGTGTGGCTTTATACCATGTAAAAGCTAACTACAACCATACTACCGTTCCAGGACGCTTCAATCCACTTTTTAAATGAACCATGGAAAGAAAGAGCGAATAAGAACAGTGATGGGACGTATCCACCTCTACTACCATTGGAGAAAAGCGATCGGAGAGACGGCTTCGTCCTCTGTATTAAATCACACAAACGTGCATCCTGGATATTATCGTGATGGTACTTGTGTCATTGTTTAAAGGCAACTTATTGATGTAAATCTTACTAATCAACAGCTGCACTGTTATTAATCCTCATGATAGGAGGTATATTGTACAAGCACTATGCAGCGCACAATACATCGCCTGTGCCTTCAACTTATGCTAGAGGAACTGAGCAAGAGGTACGCGCTGCTAGACGTTACACAGAAGTCAATGAAGACGATGCAACTCCTCCTTTTTAATGAACCTATTGAAAAAGAAGTGGTAGTTTAAACATGCTTATAGGTAATTGCAAGGTATCAACAATCAACTCTTGCTTCCAAAACACTGTTGCTCAGCTACCATCAATAATGAAAAGAAAACCATCTTAATCTAACCGGCTATTTTGAGTCTTCACCTTCCTCAAGCCGAAGGCGTCCCGCTTCCAATGCCTGTGAGCGGCATTTAGGAAGGGAACGCGGCAGCTAACGCAAAGTAGAAAATAGCACTGGTAATCATTGCGGAGTCAGCCATTGAAACAACGCAATGACGCACTGCAGGCTACTGTTGGGCCTTTGACAGATGAATAAAAGAAGCGTTGGCAGGCTGTGGCAACGAAAGAGTCTCAAGTCGTCGTCCTGTATACTGAGAACGTAAGTAATTAATTATACTGTACTGTAAGTCAGATGAGGAATACAGAAGCACCACAGCTTCCTGGTAAAGTATGGACTGGGAATTTTGGTGCCTTGAGGAGAAAGTAGGCCATTGCCAACCCACCCCCCTATATGCGGGATTTCAAGTTTTTGGTCCCCATCCAACGACCCTTTGGGCTGGACTCCCGTTCTTGCCCAAACTTCTTCTTCTTCCATTGTTCAAAAGAAACAAAGCTTAAGAAAGCTGCGTGGACGTCTGGGGGAAAACGCACAAACAAATCAGCAACCTTCTTATCCGATACATACCCATCAGAACAACAACAACAACAAAACCAGAAAAAGCATGCTCAGCTCAGACGATCCACATGCAGTGTTCGTGGCAGGTTCCAACGACAATCAATACCTTCAACCCAATGACCCTGATAAAGCTTCCAACGCACCCAAGAAAAAGTCCATGGAACGTATTTCCAAGCTGTTCCAAAAGAAGCCCAAGAAACAACAAGCATTACCATCCTCATTGACGTCGTCCTTTTCCTCCGTATCATTGACTTCCTCCAACTATGAACAACCACAACAAAACCATCAGGCACCGCCTATTGTCAACAGCACGAAAAGTACAACCAGCAAACGGTCCAGCAGCCTTCGCATTCCTTTCAGAGGAGGAGGTAGTGGAGACTCGACAAAGAGCACCGACACTGTCAACAATGGTTACGCACAACAACAACCTTTGGAAATTCGCTCGTCGCTCGAAAGACCACCTTCCATGTCCAAACAAGACGCACCTTCACTTTCAAAAGATGATTCTTCAACCACTTCTAATTCTGTCAAAGCAGGTATGCAATGTCCAATTCAACCTTGCATAAAAAAAAATAATTGACAAACATGGCTAACGGGATTTATGTCTTGTTTTATTTGACCGGGAATGGTGGGGAAAATAAAAAAGGAGACGGCCGAGATGATGACAGAACGTCCATTAGCATCACATCACCCTCAGGGCAAGATTGTAACGGTAGTAACTGCAACAAAGAGTCGACCCCCGTTGCTGCAGGAGACACGATAGTGCCATTGGCGGCGGCTACAGCTGGCGCAAGCACGAAACGGACCATGTCAACCCGGAGCACGGCAAGTTCTGCCGCTGGCGGCAAAGGAACTTGTGTAACTTCTGTGGTACCCTTAAAAGCTCAACTGGAACGTCAAAAACGCATTCTCGAGAATCTGCAAGTCGAGCAGCAACACTATGAAAAGGACAACAAGGTTTTGTCGGAGAAGCTTGACGCGCTCAAGGCCAAATACACGCAACGTGCTCAAGACATGAAGCAGCTTCAAGAAAACTTTGATGAGTATCTCAAAGCACTTCGAGCCACGGGTGACGACCTTGACAGCGTGGGAGAAAAGATCGAGAACCTCAAACAAGATATCCGTGATCTGGCGAGCATACTGGTGGAACGAGGCGATGCGGAGGCAGCTACCAAGGCCCTCAGTACTTTTTGGTTAAACCTGAACACTGCCATTGTCGGGATGGGCAGCCCATTACCCAAGCATCGGCTGCAGATGCTGACAGAAAAGTTCATGATGGACGTGCTCGTGCAGAATTTGAATTTGAACGTATTTCCCGGCGTCGATAATGTGGATGAGTACAATCGGCTACAGTACTGGTTAGAAGACAACATCAGTGATCAACACGCGTTCTTCCCCGTACGATTACGTCAAGAGACTGCGCTCATGGTTGTTAAAAAGGAGATGGATAAGGATAGCGACGTGCATCGCTCACGGCATACGACATTGCAGAACAACTGGAAATACTTATACAGCGGCATCGTCAAGGCTTTCCCGTTCGTTTATCAGCATGACAAGGCTGAAGCAGATGTACGGAAACATTATGGTGCTAAAGTCCAGCTTTTGGTCGAGCAAGCAATCAATCTTGGATTAGCCATCAAGGGTCAAGAATTGGATGTCACGGCTGCTGCTGTGACAGAAGGAGAACAAGCATTTGATCCGGAGATCATGGAAGATGAGGATGGTCAAACGTCGGGTACTGTGGGCTTTTGTATATGTCCCCCGTTCGTCGTAGGAAATCCTGCTCCGATAAGAACACTGATAAAAGGTCGTGTACTCTGTAATCCCCCTAACAACCCTGCGTCACGGTAAAAAAAAAAAGGGCGTATCTCATCGTTTTCCCCTGCCTCTATATATATATATACACACACACTAAATTCCATAAAGCTCCTTCGCTATTCCCTTTATCACTTGGAATATCTAATGTAACACCCGCATTATTTCACGAATTTTAAATCAAGTAAAAACCTTTATACGCTGACATCTGGCTGTCTGTTATAAATCGGGTATATAGCGGTAGAATGGGTTTCAGTGGCTAACCCGCTCGGTCAATCTCCCTCTAAAGCTTTAAACTTAGCTGCTATAAATGCTGGTTGTCAAGTTGAAGTGGTCCTGTTGTATGGTCTTTTCAAATGGTAACCCAGGTAACTGGAGACTTGAGCTCAAATGTTCCCAAATCTAGTAAACCTATGCTACTTTTGTCACTTGCAGCACAATAACTTCAGTGAATAGTATGAATAAGATAAATACTAAGAACGTACTCTTTTGTAGGAGAAACCCGTCATATCATGACAGCACCCAAGCTTCTGAGCCTGTTGGTAGTTATGCTTACTATAGTAGCATTCCAATTGTTAGGTAGATCATAGCAGCTAGTCCTTCTAGATATCGGGTTAAAAGAACTATGTATAGTGTTCTCGGATTACAAGCATAATACGTCTTATGGATCATACTACTGATACAATTTCACGTATATTGATCGCCGCTAAGCTAAATGCTTCTGCAGAATGTGACTGCAGCATGGATGAAATGATCCTTTAGCAATTGTTATATGCAGCACAATTTCATAATCAGTGAAGTCGTTTTTTTCACGTATGTTACACAATTCTTATCGGCAGACATTGAATCATACCGTTTGGGCTAAAGGGTGCTTGATCATCTCTAGCGACTCTGTTGGGAATGCTGTCGGAACCGAGGAACCACGATCCTCGAGTGGTGCTTGCTGCGTATATTCTGGTAATCAAGAGCAGATCCATAAGCTACGGAATATTTAAGACCCTACTGTCCAGTGTTTACATATGTGCAGTCAAATATAGTTGTATAGCAATATGTAATTTTTGTCATGGTATGACTAATACAAGAGGGTATGGTACGTTAGGATCGGATAAGAGTGAAAGTGTAAGTAGGTTGATATCTAGAGTGATTGTTGTTTACTTATATACTTTGTGAACTGAATACGAAGAGTATCAGCGTTTTTGTAATCAACTATCCCGGCCTCTTTCCCCTGGGACAAACATTCTACCCAGCTCATTCTTTTTCGTTAAGCCTCCCTTTTCTCCTAGAATCGTAATTCCATGCCTGCGATATAAGCGCTGTTAGGTCGACTTGACACGTCAACATTGAAACTGCTGGATGCTCGTTGACAGTACCATTGTATTCTCGCTTTCATTCGTCATTTCTTGTTTGGGCGTTTTGAATTGCTTCGTCAATAGTACCAGTTGGGTGCTTTGCTGACAACGAGCTTCCATATGCGTTGGTATTCTTGGTTCTGTGTTTCTAGCGTCTGGTTCAAAGTTTCTATCAAATGGCGTTCGCTACCAAGAAGCCTGTTATAGTGATCCATAGCCAACATGAAGAGCCGTTTCACGGTGATACCATCATTGTTACGAGTGTCGACGAGCGATTGTGCATCATAAATAAGAAAGAGACCAAGCGCGACAAATGGGCTTGGTGATGTTGTAGTGTTACAGACCTGAATGCTATCCTTGCAGACGATTAAACATTCTTTCGCCCAAAAACGGCAAAGGATATTGAAACAAGCTGCTTGCTCGCTAACTGTGTAGTCAGTCGTCTTTGAGAGTATCCGGTAGCGAGGAAGGACATATAATTAAAAGTAATGGTTCGCAACTGCATCGCTTAATAGCTTGTAAACTGTAATCCAATCGCCCGTTCAATGAAGTTCTCGTTGACATTGTGCTGGATTTCCAAAAGGATAATAGGCGGGCAAGTTGAGTGCATTTGCTTTTTGGTTCAAGCACAACGTCAGATCTTGTTCCGTTTGTCCTTTCAATGTTGCTGATGATGTAGTTGTTTTTTGTGTTTGTCAAGTGAGACATAATGATGTTAATGATCTCTTGATCGTTAGTGATGACATTAATTCTGTCCTTGGTCTCAAACGAAAAGGGGAGTGATTCTGACATAGTGCCGAAGTGGAACAGAAAACAAGACCGCGACCGTAACACTTGATTACATATATGATCAAGATACTTTGACGACATGGACCTGCTAATACGTTTTCGAGGAAGCTGCGCGATGCTTTATTTGTGATTGATGAAGATGACAAAGAGTGAGTCGTTAAACATTCTAGTTGGATCTTTCGACGTGTTAAGCGTAAGCACAGTATAGTTTTGCTGTTCATGTATGACGCTTCTAGGCGTAAATTAACATGCAATCATGTAATCATAACAGGTAGAATTTCAACCCCTGGAATTGTTTACCCGTTGATCCGAGAGCTTTTTGACAGATACGGGGCCCATGAGGGGCGCAAGAACTGGTCGGTCGCTGTATGACAAAGACTCTTGGAGACAGTCAAAGAACGTCTCAGAAACAATTTATGAAGGTCAAGTGTCTGATCCCCCAGGCTTTTCCTTTTACCATGATATTGGCAAGGATAGCGCTGGTTTAATTAGGGCAGATCTATTTGCACCCCCCCTCGTGCACCCCCCCAGTCACTGCCCGGCCCGGATTTTTAGTTTGCACCCCCCCCTCCCACCGAAACACCTTTATTAAGCAGAGAAGGAGTTGTGGAAAAAATCATTGCTATTTTTGACGAGTCTTTTTCATTCATAAAGCCCATACTATTAATCATTCCATGCAACGACAGGAACATTCAAGGCACTCATCCAGCGATTCCTTTTAAGATTTCTTTTCAAAAAACACTCTAAACTAGGCCGTGTGTGGGCGAGTAGGTAATTCTTATGCAACGAGACTAATAGTCTTAGCAACGATTTCAACTGGGATGAACAAAATGAAATTGTTTTGCTTTCTTTTGCTTATAATGTAGTTGACAAGACTTGAACAAATATGCAAGCGTTCAATGCTTTCACTGGAGCTGACAAAGAGACAATCGGAATTTACTACGTAAAGATGGTAAATTAACAAAAGAAACCTGATTTTCTGTTTATTTCTTCATGCACTTTGGCTTCTTTGTCAGTATTACGGCAGTTCCCTTACAGACAAATCAGCATTGTGCTGGACGAAAAAAAATATAACTAGAGTGGTGTGATTCGAAGGCGATTGGCCGTTGTGTGGGTGGGCTTTATATGTCCGCTGGTGCAGTAACGGACTATGTGTTAAGGAGAGGAGTATCTGTGGTCGTCGTTTCTCATTTTTTCTTCTAATAGTCATCTTAAAACGACGAAGCAAATATCGATGATGAAATTGATGACTGCAACTGGTATTGAATGTCATTACACTCGAAACATTGTGTACACTATAAATACATTTGACGAACTATGCGAGTGTATCTCTGTTTTTCCCTTGGCTATTATCAGGACGGCAATATGAACTCCAACATTGAACAGACGCCATATGGATGGTCCGATATATTCAAGCAACCAAAGAGTCCAAGTAGGTGCTAAAGGGGTTGCTCCTTCTTTTGCATACACACATTGGCAGCTGACTGTTCATGCTGATATAAAAAGGGATTGTAAACAAAAATTATAAAAATAATAAAGGAAGTGGTATCATCAGACTATCCATACAATTGAATGACCTAGTACTTTGCAGCCTCATGGGTTCACCTTTTCCTGGTCGATGTATCCATTGGTTCAAACATGTGTATATCGGATTAATTATATGAATATCAGAAAAAGAGAGGGGGAGAAAAGTAAAGGAAGAGAAGAGAGAGAAAAGAAAGAGCGGGCAAGAAGAGACATTGTGCTACTAAAATTGATAAGGTCCAGTTAGGTCAACTGGCTCAGAATCAGAGTGTTCTGCTTCAGATCCAGATGAAAGAGAATGAGCATCCAAATTTTCTGGAAGGGGAATATCCACATGGATCATGCTTTCAAATGCGTCTTGGTATAAGGGATACCATTGATCACCTCGGATTCTGGCACCACCATCTTTGCGGCCTTTACCTCGAGCATAAGGGTAGCAGGCAGGCCATTCAATCAATGCACCCGGCCTGAGCTGGATGAAAATTATATGGTTGTGAATGAGCTGCATGACGATTGGAGTTGTACGTATCGCTTGGGATGGGGTGCTTAGTAAGGGGCAAAATAACGAGGATTCAGTGCCAAAGAATGCTATAGGCGTATTGAACGCATCCGAGGCAAGCTGAGCACACTCTGGATAGTAAAACCAATGATGCGCATTTGGATCAAGGACACTTAGCATTCTTTCAGCGTCGAACCTCTCATAAATACTTTTTCCGCGATTTTTGATAAAGAACTCGCGCATTCCGGCCTTGATATCAATATATCGTTTTTCATCTCCAAGTAAAGCAACAGCCAACGAGCGGAAACCACAATTTCCATCTGGCTTCGGATTGTGCACTAAATTCACAGCAGAGCGTGGAATTGCATCGCAGACCATGTCCAGATTTGGCACAATAGGTGGATCTGCAGACGGAAAAGGTGATGGTAAAGAAGCGGGCAAAAAGGATGACCAAAAAGGTGGCATTGTAAGTTGTTGTTGTTGTTGTTGCTGTTGCTGTTGCTGTTGCTGTTGCTGTTGCTGTTGCTGTGGTGGCGGTGGCGGTAGTGGTATGGTAGTGATGTCAGCTTTAACTTTATGCTTGCCCTCCCTTAGTAAACCTGGTCAGTACTGTATATCTAATAACAATAGAAGATCAATTACAGCAATGATTATACTGTTACTTACCATATGTCGGCTGCTTCGCGACCCGCGTTTGTTTTGGCTTTCTTGTTGCTTTCGTTCTGTTGGTGTTCCAAAGCAATAAGATCGCGCTTTGAGCTGCGCTTAGGTTTGCCTTTCGTTGGTAGAGATTTTGGCTGCTCCAGTTGCTTGATGTCCATAAAAAGATCATCGCTGATGGCTTGCAAATGGCGTAGAAGAGTTGAGCGTTGCTTTTGGTCAGGAAATCGATGCAACATAGTGGTGATACGCGTGAGCTCAGCCTCGATTTGACTCTCCATGGTGGGAGCAGAATATGATTCCGAGATCGCTAGAATGTTGCTGCTACTGTGGAGTGTTTCTTCCTCTACATAAAGTTACTACAGCTTAGTATAGCGAGTAAGAGTGGTGTTAAACTATCTATACCTTCAGGAGCTGTTTTTTTAGGATGGAGATGCCAGCGTCTAGGGATAATGCTCAAAGGAATTTTTCCTTTAGACGGTATCATGTGACAGCAAGGAATTCCGTAATGAGCTTTGATTGCACATCGACAGTTGTCGGTTCTTAGCGGATTTGGATATACAAGCTCCTTGCGAATTGCATTGAATGCGAACTTCGATATGTGGCGCTGTAAATCTACCAGCCTTTCCTTTTGACTTGGCGGGATATGGGAGTTTACACCGAAATGTTCGCTATCCAATTGACGATCCCAACTTAGATTCTGCACAGGCAAATCAACACACAGCGAATACGATTAGCAATTAATGTGCGTAGAATAGGATTGTAGGTAAATATCAAACTACCATATATATATATAATATACGAATGTATTGTACCTTTAATCTGTAGAATTCATCGATTTGCTCAAAAGCAAGGTATAGGTTACCACTGGCGGACTGTATGGCCTTCTTCATATTGGCGTGCGTTCCTTCAACTCTGTTGGTGGTACTATTCCCAAGATGCTTGACATCTGCGAGGTACCGTCCGACCCATTTTTCTTTATTAGAAAGCTTACTGCAAGCGAAAGTATTACACATAAGTATAGTGTCCAAGCAAACGATCTCCGTTAAAAATCCAATATATAGTTACCTCTCGAGATATGCTTTCACTTCTTCCGGCTTTTTTGCCTTCATTGCAGCCTCATTGTACATGCCGATCGCCTTTTGCTCGAATTCCTCATCTGGAACCAGTCGCTTGTTCTGGAACTTATCATCATATTCATCAGCCATCAAGTAGTTGATGGCTTTCAGGAGCGCCTCAAAGTCCTCTTTAACTTCAAAAAGTTTCTGCAGCTTGACTTGAAAATTGCGTCTGATGTGGTTGGTACAGAGCAATTTCTTCGAGTTGGGGAATACGTGATCCAAGGCTTTCATCAACGCGGATTCGCTGTCAGTTACAAAGACTTTCGGGGAGACTGGCTGCTCAGCTGGCCAGACAACTTGCTCAAGCTTTTTGACAAACCAGTCGTAGCTGTCATTCGTTTCTTCAGACACCCATCCGCCAGCAATACAGAACGTTTTCAAGTCTGGATAACCAACATTGCCTGTACCGACGACATTTACAAAGGGGAGCCGATGTCTGTTTGTCTTGTACGTGGCATCCATGATTATGGTTTCAGGGAATTGGCGAGCAAGTGAAATTGCAGAATGATGCGCAAAAAAAAGAGAGTGCAAGAACCGTTTTTCGCCATCTTGCTTCGATTCCCACTCAACGACGTAATCCTTGTCCTGTAGCTTGCTGATAAGCTTGAATATGGTATGGTCGGGATCGTTGTTGAATACCATCTGTCGCATATTCGTGATGTCCTTGGGGCTGACAACCGTTTTGTTAGCAGCAAGGTATGACACAATTGCAGTATTACTGGCGTGCCCTTTGATCATGCTAAGAACAATTTCGTGCTGCTTCCCATCGAGCTGACGAAGCATTGGATACGACGAGAGCTCCTTTGCAATCTCATGATTGTGTTCACCGTCGTAAAAAGAGACAACGTGCCATTGCTGGCTAGCCTTGCTCAATGGCCGCAGCTTGATCTCAAACTCGCATCCAATTCGCTGGGAGTCTTTCTCGCGCCGTTTCTTGCTGTCCTTGCTGTTGGATCGAATGACATCACCTTTGTCGTTCGCCAATATGGTTTCTACTGTCGTAGTTTTGCCATCGTCATATACCTCTTGATTGGTAGGTTGTCCAAAGTGCTTGCAAACAAGACGGAGGACTCTTTTTTCTCCTGTACGCGTACTTTTCAAGGTACGCAGGGAAACCTTGCTCTTTTTCCCCCAGTCGACGCAAGCTTGCTTGGCAGAGTCAAAGTCGTCATAAGTGACTCGCAGTTCTTCAGGAATTGCACTTGTAGTTTTTGACATTGCGATGGAAATGAGTTGAGAGATTTAGAGAAGTATGCTTGTTTGTTTATGGGAAGTAAAAGAAGCAATTTTTAAGATACGCTCCAATTTCCATTGTCACTTCCTGAGTACTATGTAGTACCAAACATGATGCGAACGACACGATAATGTAGAGGTCAATGTGTCTATGGACTATGTATATACGGACTATGTATATAGATAAATATACTGCTATTTGAAGGATTTTGCATTAATGCAGTCTCAGTTTCATATGCATTATGTAAGACGTGTCAAATCAAAAATTTTATTTTCTTTTGTTTGTTTAATTATCCTCTTGGCCTCACTTTCTTTTCTACATCATTTTTCAGTTCCATCATTAGCATATTACTCGCATATTCTGTCCATGCATCTAGGACAGTTTTCTTTATACAAGCAAGTAGCAGTTGCCGGTGCTATATTTCATTGTGCGTGTGTGTGTCTCCTTTCTGACAATTTACGTTGAAAAAGGCAAATGCATACATTTAGTTTATAGCTACTCATTTTATGTTACTTGATGCGATGCTAATGCTTCGTTCTTCAATCTTGTGTTGAATTGCTTCAATTCGATCTGTGATTGAGGAATGTGGATGAAGTGGTGTGCAAGAATTGGTTCGATGAAGGGGGGTGTACGAAATGGTTCGGTGGGAGGGGGGGTGCAAACTAAAAATCCGGGCCGGGCAGTGACTGGGGGGGTGCACGAGGGGGGGTGCAAATAGATCTGCCCTTTAATTATGTATCGATACTGCCATGGTGCAAATTTTTTGGAAGGAGGCATTTATAAAAGTGACATTCACACAATCAGTTCTTTTCGGGCAAGCCCAGAATTGACGGAAGCCAGTGCTTGCAGACTATCGCCTCTTCCATAACAACGACGTAAGTGCATGATTGATGCAATGACTACTATTGACCATGCTTGTGCGGCTGCTAAACTAGGCAAGGATTCTGATGGTGTTGGGGATTGACGCATCGCTCCCAATAATGATATGGACGTTGGATGGTTTATTTTTTGCAACTGTTGTCCTTTGATTACGAGTCGACAACGGTGAATTTCTGTAATTTGGTGTCTGCTTATTACCATCGCTACACTGCTTGAGTGTATAGCAGTTACCATGCCTTTTCAATCAAGTACAGGATTGGTACCTGAGATCCGGACTCGGGGTTCCCATATAAGAAGCGGAGATGGTGCACAAGGTGAAACACGGATCGACACTATATACTACAGCGGCATGACAGCGACCGTGTGTGTTTCCATAGTGTCAATCCAAAGATACTTCTTTTACTTTTGCTTTGGCACAGCAAAGAACAAAGGAGAAGCAGAAGGGCTCTACAAAGCCAGTCACGTGATGAGGCGACTGCGCTTGAAAACCAGTCTTGACCTGCTGATCCACTAGCGTGTGACTTTTTTGGTTTTTGAAAAAGTATAAATACAGGTCCATTTTTCAGAGCAAGAAGGATTTCTTTATGCAGTAGCACCAACAGATGTTTGGGGGCATCGGTGTATACTTTTCCCTACGGGGCCCCATAGGAAAATGACAAAAAGCACATTGGTGTACACCACCAAAAGACAAAATCAATAACACAAAAAGTGTTGTTGACGTCTAAACTATCTGATTGTGTGTGTTTCCTTGTCCAACAAGGTGCACCACTACACAAATAAATAAGAAAATGATAAAAATAAATAAACACAAAAAGTGTTGTTGAAGTTGCAAAGATCTGTTTGGTTATGGTTTCATGACTACGTATAATTTTGAAAGAGAGATTCGTAGGCTACAGTAATGGCAGCACCTTCAAGGCTGCCGTCTGACTATCAAAGCCGTTACCCTTGTCGTTGGACTTTGTCTTCCTGAATGTCAGCTCCACTGTATATAAAAAAAAAGGGAGTCCTCCGTGAAGCACAGATCGTTTCACACTGAAACATACACTCGCTTGTCATTTTAGCAGCGTTGACTACAATGACACTGCAGCTCTTTTATTAGGCATTTTAATCGAGTTACACAATTACGAACATTGATTGTTCTTTTAGAAGCGTGTACATAGTACGCACGAGATGTATTTGCAAGCGTAAATCTTAGATAAACGCTGCTTCTGCAGTTAATGAGATTGTTACATCTGCGAAAGTATCTATATCTACGGTTTCCTGACTTTGCACATGGTCTTTGCAGTTTTCAGCTTTACAAGTGCTCATCATTACAAAGTAAACGGTTTCGAGTAGAAGCTTTGCCAAATAATCCCATGAAGTTTTATCGTGCATTATATCTATACACGCTCTCTTGCTCAAGAGCTTTCCGATGAAGTTGGACAACAACTTTAGTAACATCTTCATGAAAGCCCTTCAGCAAGGCCTTAAAAGGCTTGCTTGGTGCATAGAGTACCTGCAAGCCTCCCCGTTAATTAATCGGATGTTAACTTAAACTTGTGCCTTTCTGTTGGATACTATATAATGACATGGCAACCATGTAGGTATTTCAAACATGCAGACCACAAAGCCCAAGAACAGTATTAAATCAAAATGTTAATTTAGGTGGTTTCAGATTATGCATTATATCATGCACCACGATTGTTTTTGTCGTCGTAAGGTTAGAGATGTACGCACAAACTGCCAGGATAACACACGCCAAAGCGGTCGTTCTGTATATATCAACTAACATTAAAGATTCAACTCCATACTTTTTAAACATATTACCAAAAGCACCGTCTGTAGACACTAGCACCCAAATTGCTACCCTGAGAGCTACACGCATCCACAATCGTCACTCGTTAATCTCGCAGATCTTCATTCCAGTATGATACTCAAACCTCCGACAGTATCCCTCCTTATGTGGCAAAATCTTATACGGAGGCATTGGTTTTGGGCTATGCCGGGTGCTTTCAATTGTGTCTTAAGTCAATGACGTTATCGCGAGACCATATTCAAATTTAGGTGGTCTAAATTTGAGCGTACAGGTGGCTTGATAAAAGGCGTGATATTCCCGAGGGGTTGATACCATGAAATGCTATGTATAAAAAGAAGTTATGATATATTCTACGAGAATGGCTATATGCAACAATCCCTTGTCTTGACCAATTTTCCTAGCAAAAGTAAGTGTTATTCTGAACTGATAAGAAAGATATGTTTATTCTACCAAATGTTAGTAAGTTTACGTCCGTGG